CGAGAGAAGGCAAAAGTCCAGAGCCGGGTGGTCCATCCAAGACAAACAGAATTAAAACTGGAACCGGGTCGGAACCGGCAGGAACAGGAACTTAAAAACTTGACGGGACCAGGCGCTCCAGGTCCCGGACTCACCTGGTACAGGAACCAATGCAGAGCCCGGAACAGAGTGAGCGCCTGGCTTTTATAGGACAGGGGGCAGGAACAGGAGGCAGGTGCAGGGAATGAGTACTGAACAAGGAAGGGCTGGAGAGTCCTTAAGAGGAGGGGTTTACGATCTTGACAGCTTCTGGCCTTGCTCATTTTGGCAGAAAGCAGTTCAAAATCAGTCCAGTACAAAAACCGGTATCGGAATGCTGAACCGAACAGACTCGGTCACTGTATAATACCTGCATGTGATTCTGCAATTTCCCTCACGGGATCAATAAAGTATCTATCTATTTACGTGGAGTTGCCTTCTGTGTGGAGCAGCTCTTGCGTTGAGACCTCTGACACTTGATCTGGACAAAAAGTCCACATGGAAACGGCAACATTTAACATGAAGTTTATTTTGCTGGTTGGGGGTGCGAGTAGAGTCATACAAAAGTGGTCTCAGCAATATTCCACCTTCATTTATTTATTTCAGGGTATCATTTAATACTATATAATTGCCTTTGTGTAGGTTGTTAAGTTATTCAACTGTACATCGCTTGCAGGGAGCTGCTGCTGTCTTTCAATGTAGCTCTTGTAGGTGGTCAGTGGTTTGTGTAACACTAGTGGTCATCCTACATGCACAGCTGATATGTTTGCTTTATCTTATGTGTTCTTAATCATATTCATATCCTGAGAACACACTAAAGGTTAGAAGCTGTCATGCTGCTGTAGCTTTGCATTTCTGTAGTTACCTTTAAGACATGGGCCAAATGCTCCCAGGACTATTGGCACAGAAATATGGTTCAGATTCAGAACTTAAAATCCTTTGGATCTGGTTGGATGATGAGTTTTTTATATGAAGCCTAACAACCTAAATTGTCTGCAGCGATAACAGCATTAATCAGCATACTACGCCCATGATCTCCACATTGTGTGCATTATTTCCATGACTGCAGTACAAGTACTTCAGTACTGCTTATAAAGAACCCCATACAGTATATAACATGCAGGGGCCTGATCAGTTTTCAACTAATTAGAAGGAAAAAATGTTGGTCTTATTTTCCATTTGTGCCTTTAAGGTTCTTACAATGAGACTGTAATAGAAATTTTCAGCTAATTTCTATCTGGTTTTATAGAATGTACATCTTATGATGTTTTCTTAAATTATTATAACAGAGAAGCTAGAGAAGCTATCTGAAGACATCATTCAGATATCAGAATCAGTTGCTATCACCTGCAAACAAAGAGAAGTAAGATTTAAATCTGCACTGAAAAGTAATACAGAGATCCTACCAGCATTGGTACTCCACACAGTCACACAGATGCATATTAATTAGATTTTCTTAAACATTTAATTTCCTAAAATCTAAGTTATGTTAAATACTTAGAGAATCAGATTTACTGATAATCAACAGACAAAATATCTTAAACACAGAAGAACGTTTTTATTTTATAGAGGTTTGGGAGTTTTATAGCACAAATGGATCTGCAAAGCTTCCATCGTCTATTTTCCCAGCGATTGACAGCAATTGAAGAGGTGGTTGAGTCCAACAGGCTGCAGGTTGCACTGGAATTTTTGACCCAGGGGACCTATCATGCATGTCAAAAATTCATTTTCAGCCAAATGCTTAGTCAAACAGCAGCGCAACATTGCAGCAGTGTCTCCTCAGGCTTCTGAAGGGCAGCACGTGGTAACTGTATGCAGGGCCTGCCAAAGGAAAATGCTTGAGTGGCGAAATTCTTCAGTGGGTCAGAATGAATGATATCGCTGAAGCAGCCGAACGTAACCTGAGATAAGGACCTTGTATTCTAAAGAACTCATGCAGGTCTTGCACAATGGCATCTATTTTTCTTAGGAATGTTTTCGGGGCTGAGTAATTGAACAAAATGCACAACTTTTGTCCTCAGTATTTCAATAAATGTCACTATTGTGAGGCCTGAAAGAGAAAATCCTCCAAACATAACTAAGTAGAAATTAAGTAAGACGTACACAGTCTACGTTTTGGCCGCAAAACCTTAATCGGAGCATTGAAGCTGTTTCAGCCATCAGTGTTCAAAATTCTACACCACGATGGCCCCTCCGACTAGTCAATCCACAGCTCTCCAAGATCAGTATGCCACAAACGTTAAATATAAATTATAACCCCAAGGATGTCTCAAGAGTATGTAACAAAGTAAAACAATAGTAATAAAACAGTTCAATCTTTTACTTTCCATAGTTTCTTTGGGAAAAATGTAGTAACTGAGTTTTTTTCAATGCAGTTTGTCATCTGACCAATAATTTAGTTCTGCAAGACAACTGCCTCCTTTAATAGAAAAACCCATTCATGTTTATGTTTTTGTTTTTCATGTACTGTGTCCACCTATCTATTCTTTTGAGTGCCGCCAGTACCGTCTGCCTAAGTGTATTTTGTACATCATAAATAAATGCCTTTGTCTGCACGTGGCAGACACAATATATAAATTATTGATACCTCACAGCTTCACAACAGAAGCTGCAAGGTTTTCTTTTTCAGTTGAATGATCTCATATTTTGAAAAACAGAGAGAGGTCATGTTTACTTGCACATGTGTAATGCAACCTAAGTTTATGGTATTGAAAGGTACAGATTGTACTGTGGCATTTTCTCATGTTAAACCTAATGTTCTGGGCCTTCTGTTTTCCAAGAAATTATAGCATCCTCTGTCCTGGTGAGGATATAGTAAACTTATAGTAACCTGGTGAGGATAAGAGTTTTTAGTAAACATAAAGGTTTTCTGAGGATACTCTGTTATTTTACAGAATCAAATGACTTCAATGATATCATATTAAGTAGACATGCAATTTGAATAACTATCATTAAGTGATTCCAAAGAAATTATGTAAGTATACGTATTTAGAAATGACTATAAAAAATGAATATTAAATGCCCTAGCATTTAATTAAGTTCCCAGTAGGCCTGGTACCTATTAAATGTTTTTCTTTGCTTCAGAGGAGCCCATGAAGAAGCCACTGAGAAAACATGACTAGAATGATTCCACTGGCATCCTTAAATGGGCCCTTGTTAATGGGTAGAGCAGGCAAACAGTTTAATTTGCAGTAAAATTCCATTTAGTTTTAGCACAGAGCAAAAGTGTTTCATTCTTTATTCCTCGATAAGGTTATGCAAGGCTTTTGAACTTGCAATGATTCATGTTAAAGTCATCTGACAAGACAGCCCTGTAAATAATACACAGAATACACAATGAATTAAGCTTTCAACAAGTTCATCAATAGCTTCATTTTTAAACTTCATTGTTTAAACTTGTGAGGGTACTTTGTGTACGTTGTATGAATTCTCCGTGCGTATCTGAATACTTTTTCAGTACACACACACATACATTATCTAATAATACTTGGATAATACTTGGAGTTGGATCAAGACAACTCATCTGTATAGCAAATGCTTAATTTGCTTCTCCTTCAAACCACTAGGAAGTTACCCTTGTCTGTTATGTTTTCTTGCTCACAGTTTGAATTTATAACTTAAATAGCTGTTGTCTGGACTTAAAGGGGAACAACAAGCTGTCGCAGTCTTTGTGTCAGCTACAGTATGTGTTTTCAGAAGATCATTTCAGATTTATTTGATCTGCTCCTCCTTGGGTAAGATGTGGATATTTCTGTTTATTTACGATACCCTGCTTTTAAGAATGGCATTTGTTCTTCATAGTATCCAGTACTAAGCAGTATTCTTTCCTCAATTAAATTGACTATTGCTAAATTTAAAAAGGGATAAGGTATTTGTATAAAATGTCACTAGTCTAATATCACACCTCAGGTTTTGTGTTTTAATACCCATATTAAAGAAAGCAGGAAACGATTTTTTCTTGTTCTTAATAGACATCTACAGTATATTCGATAGGTGGCGCCACCAAATTCCTCACAATTGCTTCAGGTAGCTCTTTTGTGTTGATTAGTAATTTATGAAACAACCCACTATCATACCCAGTCTCTAATTCTTAACAGAGCACATCTGAATTTAATGAGTAATAATATTGCTTTTGCAGCAATGGCTCTTGTGGTTCAATTCCTGGGAGTTTGTATGTTCTCCCCATGTTTGTGTGGCTTTCCTCCCACAGTCCGGAAACATGCTGATAGGTTAATTGGCTTCTGGGAAAACTGGCCCTGAAGTGAGAGTGTGTGTGTTTGTGTTTGTGTCCATACAGAATGTGCTCTGATGTGGACTGGTCCCATCCAGGGCATATCCTGCCTTGAACCTGTTGCTTGCTGGGATAGGCTCTAGCTCTCCCACCTCCCAGTATTGGATAATGCTGTTAGAAAACAGATAGATGGTGGCTTCTCCTGGATTTACCAACAATGAATGCTTGGATGGAATTAATATATGAATTTTATTAAGTAGGTTAAGTACATAAAGCCTTTAAAGTCCGAATTTGTTGAGATACAGAATAACTGAAACTAGAATTAAGTATGTGTATCTACATAGTTTATTCCCTCTTCATAAATCATTACAAACATGTGTATCTTCCTTATTTGAAATGTATATAGTTTGGTAAGAAGTAAAATAATTGTAAAATATTAAGAGAACAGATAAGAATAGACTACATTTTGATGTGTGATGTGTATTAGTAAATGTGTATTATAAAAGGATTGTTGTGTAATGTCATCTGTATTTAAAATGGTTTTATCTGTTCTCTAAAATAAAAACAATGGACGGACAATTACATTCCTCATACATATGAAGCAAAATATACATCGGACAAATCTCTTGCCTTACTTTACTGTAGTTCTCCCTGTTGGCTTTAACAGAAGCTCAGAAATGCAGAATCTCAACCGATTGTTTTTTCCCTGTTATCAGATTGATGTTATGGTTCCTCTGTTTTATTTTTGCAGATTGCTTGTCGGATCTCCTCGGGCCAAAGCTTTGAAAAATCAGAAAGCCAACGTAACAGGAGGCTTGTACAGCTGTGAGATTTCGCCACAGCTGGGCGACTGTAAACGTATTGAGTTTGACAATGAAGGTAAGTGTTTCCTGGGCTTTTTTAGGAGAGTTGAAAAGATATTGCAATAAAGCATGCCTGTAAGATCATAGAATTGAATCGGAGAAGTGGACACCCTATTTGCAGAGATGGTTATTGGCACATAAAGTAGGGCGTGTCTGAAAGAAGAAGTTGCAGTTTATCAGACCACTGCTTGTGATTAGCCCAGACTGTAACAGGCTCCCTGCCTTATTGACTTTTTAATCAATGGAAGGTCCTACAGTTGGAACTGTGACAAAACCATACTTGGTTACAGCTGTTTGACTCCAATATTGTGAGCCTTTCCCCTTACAGTCAATGAATGGCACTGTGTTAAATGAAGGGAAGCTTTAATTGCACTGTTCTTCCCTGGTGCCTCACACGCTGGAGACAATTCCAGTCAGTTTGGGAGATTCGTTTTGTCCTTTGGATACTTATAAAAGTGTTTTGGAAGGTCCCTTCTCTTCTCTTGAACCAGCTAAAAACTTTTAACAGTCAGCTACAGAACATTCACCTCTGAACGGTGTCATGCTTTTATAGTCAGCAATTATGTTGTTATTATGTCTGGAATAAACTCTTTGAGTCTCAGAAAGATCCTATTTTCTTATGACACAAAAGAGTCATTCACTTATCGAGATTGTTTTGTCTTCTGTGTTGTATCGATTTTGTTACTGTCTTGTGCTAGAACAGATTGTTATTACAAGCTAGACTTGTATTCAAGCTGTAATAATTTGCTATGAATTGTGAGCGTGCACATTTCACCTGCAAGTCTGCATGCACTAGAGTTTACAGTGAGTCATGTGTGACTTTTTGCTTCTTTTTCTTAAATCTTCTGCGAAACCTGTACCTGTAGCTGATTTATCAAGTGAAAGCAAGGAAAACCAGTGGATGGGGGTGACAGTCCAAAGTCAGGGACCAGGAGGCAAGATTGTGGTGAGTCCTGTCGAGACCCTGTAGGCTCAAAAGATGGTCACACTGTATCATGTTTCACTGTATCAGATGAAATAGGAGGCCCTGGTTGGCGAAGGTAGTTTCATCCTAGTCTACTGTTTAGGCAGCCTTTTTGACACTAAAGCATTTTATCTTAGTGAAGTAATTGTCACTAATATGTTGTCAAATTAAAGCTTGCCTACTATACTGTCTGTACCTATCAATGCGAACTCCAGATTAAAATAGCTATTTTAAGTTACAGTGCCAGATATTCAGTAAAAAAAATAGCTTCGAGCGGAGGGTGAACACTGACGTAATTTGACGGACCTGTATTTCTAGACCTGTGCTCATCGGTATCAGAGGCGAATGTTTGTGGGCTCGGCGCAGGAGTCCCGCGACATTACTGGCCGCTGCTACGTTCTGAGTGAAAACCTCCAAATCAATGAAGGTTCAGAGGAGGACGGGGGCAACTGGAAATTCTGTGAGGGCCGAACACGAGGCCACGAGAGATTTGGCTCCTGCCAGCAAGGCTTGTCCGCCACCTTCACAAAGGATTATCACTATGTTGTATTTGGTGCACCTGGCGCCTACAACTGGAAGGGTAGGAGCGCCACATTATGTCTTACTGCAGGAATACACTTGTTATGAAAGAAAGGAAAGGAGAATCACACCCAAAATTTGCCTGTTTTGAGTTAGTATACCATATCGGAATTTGAAATCATAAAGTGTACAAATCGGAGTATTAATATCGACACAATATCAATCAACCATCACAACCTTTAAAAATGTTGTGCAGCAAGACGACCACTTCATTGTCATTTCATTTTTTTATGTTGGACTTTGCTGACCTCTAGAGGTTGCGAGCAGTATTGTAGTAACCGCACATAATCATTCAAGGACCGTTTTCATCTTTCCCTTTGTTTTTGTTTTTTTGGCATAGCTAATCAGTTTCAGTGTCATTTCCCTTTTGAAATTGCCTTATCAATTGATACTGAATCTTCAAAGGAATAGTTCACATTTACCTCCTTTTGATTTTCCACACATTTAGGTTTATTTCTAAGGGCTTCTCATCCACTTTTTTTTTCTTGAACTCATGTTTTCTCCAACCGCCATCTTCAACACATGATCCGTCACCTCCATCACTCCAGGGATTGTACGAGTAGAGCAAAAGAACAGTACTCTGGTGGACCTGGGGATATATGAAGATGGCCCATATGAAGTCGGTGATGAAACTCAGTTTGATGCAAACCTTGTGCCTGTACCAGATAACAGTTACTTAGGTGGGTAGTATGAATGAAAAGCAGCGGGTTGACTTCAGGGGGCAGGGTTTTGAAACTGATTGTCAGGCATGTTTGTGCACTGAACCTGGAGATTTACCCAGCATAGTTTGATTTTGACCCATTTCGGGTTTTTGAATGCGTGCGTCGAAGACGTACAACTGTTCTCCCTCCCTTGTGCCTTTTTTAATCTTCAAGGGAAAAAAAAAATGTTATTTTGTGTGTTCAGGTGTGCTTTTTATGACGGCTTTGTCTGCTGCTGATCCTGATCAGTTTGTGTATAAGTCACTTCCTTCACAGGTAAACGTGGGAAAAGCTGTAGATGTGATGGCCAATAGCTACTTAGGTTTGTGACATCTACAGTGACTAAATTGTGCTCTCCAGCCCATTGTCTTTACATCTGGTTTTCAGTGCCACAGCATCGCCATGTGTATAATTTCCATTCGAATGCAGATCTGCATGCCTTTATTTATCATGGGCTATCCATTGGTTTCATTGCCTGACACTTTTTGTGATGTATTCCCATCAATTAAAATAAACAGAGCGGATTATAATTATAATTATAAATTATAAATATTATAAATTATTATTTTTATAATATAATCCCCATCAAGGTGTGTTGCATGCACAATACCTCTGTATGTATGATCTGCACTTTGTGTATGTTTGTTTCCTGTATGTATTCATTGCCTATTAAAGGGAAAAGATTTTGTGCATGAGTCATAGACTGTCTTGGATCCATCCCTCTACATCTGGGGATGTGGGTTGTGGGGGTTGTGAAAATATCATCTGAAAAAAGAGCCTAACTTGTTTAAATTTCAATTAAGGAGGTGGGAGGTGTTAGTTTGTTAGGTGTAGTTTTATTTATGTAGAATAGTTCTTAAGGCCTCATCTTTATATTTCATCACACTAGTGCCACACCCAGGATTGAGTTTGATTTGTTTCTCTTGACGTTTGTAGGATTCTCTTTGGACTCTGGACACAACCTTATCCAAAAGGGTCAACTGACAATTGTGTCTGGCGCACCAAGAGCCAAACACAGTGGAGCTGTTGTCTTGCTGAAGACCGGTGGGACCGAATCTAGGGTCCTGAATAAAGAATTTGTTCTAGAAGGCCCAGGCTTGGCATCGTCCTTTGGCTACGATGTAGCTGTGGTTGACCTTAATTCAGATGGGTATGTTATGTGATTCTGTTTTTATTCTTGGTTGCTACTGAATTGATTGCATTCTGACAAGTATTTCTGTTCCACTGGCACTCTTTTAATTAGGATGTAGCTAAGGCCATGCATAATATAATCTGATTAATACCAAACCTTGAGGGTGATGTCCACTAAGATAAAGATTTGGAATCCATTATTGCAAACCTCATTATGAATTCCTTATTTTGTCAACCTCTTAGTGAAATGTCAGCTGGAGGAGCCAACCTGGATTTTCTGGAAGTTTGAATATGCTCATTGTGCAATGCTTTATTTTTATTTTTTTGTAATGCCTGATGTTCTGTTTTTTTAGCTGGCAAGATATTGTTGTAGGTGCCCCACAGTATTTTGTCAAAGATGGTGAAACTGGTGGAGCAGTGTACGTTTACATCAACAAGAATGGCAAATGGGACCAAATCACACCCATTCAACTCAACGGAACCAAAGATTCCATGTTTGGGCTGGCAGTTGAAAACATCGGAGATATTAACTTGGATGGGTTTCAGGGTGGGTTTTCATCTCCAGTCCTTGTCTTTCAGCATAAACATCACTTCGGTCCTTTCTGACCAGCCTCTGCAAGTGGGGAAATATTGGAAAAAGCCACAGCTTTCATGATAATCTGAATTGCTGGATCTTTTCCCCAGATATTGCTGTTGGTGCGCCTTACGATGACGCAGGTTCAGGGAAGGTTTATATTTACCACGGATCGAAGAGTGGTATCACCACCAAGCCAGCCCAGGTATGTTTTCAAAATGTTTCACTTTGGTAGTGAGGTGGTTCTTGGGTATTTTTCATTCAGTCAGCTGTAGAGAGTTGTTGCTAGGTGACTAATACTTCTGCTACATAATGGTACCTAGGATAGTTTCTCCACTTACACCAAGGGGGTGCCAAGCACATCCCTTTTTAAATACTGTATTAAGCTCAACTGTACACTGAACACACAAAAATGACATTTTTCTTATATGGCTAAACATGTATGCAAAATAACACCCAGAAACAAAAGCTGAAATTCTCTTAATTGTAAACTCTTAGCAATCTTTTGATCTGAAAGGCGAATTTAATTAGCACACAGCACAAATGACAAATAGTGCTTCACTATTGTTTTAACTTTTGTTGCAGGATTTTAGACTGACTAAATATTTTTAGTTCTCTCATCTCTGATAACGTCTCTTTTTTTCTTCTTTACATTCTTCTCCGTTAAAACTGGCGGTTTGTGTGAGCATTTCTAAATATGCACATTTTGTAATATATAGGTTTTCTTTGGTTTTAGGTCCTAGAGGGAAGAGACCATAATATCAAATTATTTGGATATTCCTTGGCTGGGAACATGGATTTAGATAGGAATTCCTATCCTGATATTGCCATTGGCTCTCTCTCAGATTCTGTATTTGTGTACAGGTAATTTGATGCATTTTTTGATAATAACTAATGTACTTTTTTCAAGTGAAAATGAGTTATCAAAGTTTTTCTTAATTTCCCTAAATTTTAGGTCAAAGCCGGTTGTAAACATTGTAAAGGAAATTACTATAACGCCTAAGGACATTGACCTAAAAAAACCTGCGCCGTGTCTTGATGGAAAAGGCTTTTGGTAAGACATTTTAGTACGGTGGAAGTCCTGCAGTCTCTCTTATCTTTGAAAAAAGCTAGTTTATAGACTGTTATTACCACTGAAAATCCTGAGGGTTCCTGATTTATAATCTGTTTCAATAAATAATCAAATTATACAACACTATGGTCAAGTTAATTATGGGTATACTCTTGCCTTTATGTGAGCATTTTATCCATAGTAATATCCTAATGAATGGCCAGATGTTTTTAGGATGATTAAAACTATCTAGAAGCCTCTTGAGTGTTTATTTCTTTCACACTTTAATTAAGGGCACCAATTAGACTGTGTTTAACAACACTGTTTTCAGTTACAAATGCTTCAAAGTAAAATCTCATGTTGTGTGACCAGGATGATGTCTTAATCTTTTTAAGATGATGTGGTAGACAAGCACAGCAATAAGACATTACAGGCAGGCAGAAGAAAAAGTAAACAATAAAATATAATGACTAAAATGTAATTTTAGAAAGCTTAGACTCGTGCAACTGCAGTATCTTCTGCACAAGCATTTTGTTCAGTGTTGAATCTGAAACTTGTGTTGAGCTATTGTTAAGTAATAAAGACTTGTACTTCTCTCTTTCATATTTTAAATTTTAATAGCTTTGTCATTTTAAACCACTGCATTTACCAATAAAAAGCAAGGGAAAACGTTTTTTTTTGGATCGCGCAGCTTTGAAAATTATATCAAGGGTTTTATCTTCATTTTCATTGGAGAAATTCTGTATTGTTACAAACTCAATCCTTTTTTATTTTCTTTCAGCTTAACAGTTAAAGCCTGTTTTGAATATACAGCAAATCCAAAAGACTACAACCCTCGATTGAGTGAGTATGTTCTTCATTTTATAGGTTAGATTTTGTTGAACCAGCTGCCTGTGGAAACATGACAGTGTTATTTTTTCCCTGACAGCTATGGACTTTACATTTGAGGCGGATTCAGACAGAAGAAAAATTAATCTGCAACCGAGAGTATCATTTTCAGAAAGGAAGGCAACGGATCCTGACAACCAGTATAGTGGAACTCTAGAGCTAAGAGGGCAGAATCAGAAGAAGTGTATTCAAGCAGAAGGAAAGCTGCAGGTACAGCCCATTTTACCCTTTTTTTAGTGACGTCGAGCCACTTCCAGTTGAATGAATTTAACTACTGTATTACTGTTTCCTTTTGCTGACTTGAAGTAAGGTTCTAATATTCCCGCTGGTCATATTTGAATTTTGTGATGAAATCTTCTTTTTTTTCCCAAGGATACAACAGACAAGCTGAGAGGCATTCCAATAGCGGTTTCAGTCGCAATCAAAAATGCCAAACGGAGAAAAAGACAAAGCGCTCTCGCAGAGCTGGTTCCTGTCCTGAGTTCGGAACTGCCAACTCGTTCAGAGGTATGTTGTTCCAGCTATTAACATTTGAGTTGCTTTAGGCAAATGGGATAACCAACCTACTTGTTTGTGATAAAAGACTCCAGGCTGCATTTCATCAAAGTTTGATATACACAATGATGACAGTAAATTAAATCCAGACCTTTCATTCATACTAAGGAAAGGAGAGCAGTACACTAGCATGGTTCCTGTCTGTGTGTAGTTTGCATGCATTTCCACTGGATGGTCTGTTTCCCCTTGCACCCAGTGTAGACGGTGAGGTTAGCAACTCTGTGGAAAATAGAAGCTTTCTTCTAGAAGAGGTGTTGCTGGACTGGAAGGTGGCAGTCTTCTGGTTTAGAAATTCATCTCCCATTTAATTCATTTAACTCATCACCCAGTATCATTGCATTTGCTGCTGTGTTGTAGAAGGTTCTATCAAACAGTGTCCAAGCAGGATGTCAGACAATCTGTTTACCACCGAAGAGCGTTTTCTGACACCACCTTACCCTGCCATTTTGTCTTTGAGAAAGAACTTGATCTTCACGGGGCTTCTAAGCAAAATTAAAATGGAAACAAATTATGTCAAACAGAAATAATGACATAACTACTGTGTTTCAGGTTAACTTTGTGAAGGAAGGCTGTGGGACGGATAATATCTGCCAGAGTAACTTGGATTTCAAGTATAAATTCTGTTCTAGAGAGCATAATCGCGATGTATTTCACCCACTACCTGTGTAAGTGTTTACCAGATGTATCTTCTTGTAGCGTACAAGTATGTTATGTATATACAGTATATGACATACAGTGTGGTATGGTACACATGCAAGATTTTCTGTTGTATTCACAATGCTAATGATATTCCCTTTAATGTTAGCAAAATACCTCATTTACATGCATTATTTCTTGTGGTGTATAATATGTAATGTTGCACTGTGGTATTTGATGTGTTATGCCTGGGCTGGGTGCAGCTCGCGTCCTCTCTTGTTTCCTGCTCGCTGCCTCACTACCATCTCGTTTCACCTGGGACTCCTGAAGATCGTGTTGCCCAGAAGAGGCTACTTGCAAAAACAACAATCCGTTTCTTTTTTAATTTCCAGGGAGAATGGGGTCCCAGTGATATCTCTCAGTAATCAGGAAGATATTGCTCTGGAGGTAACGGTGACTAACATGCCTTCACGTGACAGAGATGGGGATGATGCCTATGAAGCCAAGCTTGTGGCCCTGCTTCCTGACACGCTGTCCTACTCCGCTGCACGGACTCTGAATGCGCCTTCAGTGAGTGAAGTCTTTAACCCTTGAAGCTCAGTGTAATAACCGACCTGCTGCTGAGCGTGTCTTTTCCAGCAGTGCAAAAACTGCCTTTTTTCTTACAGGACAAGCAAGTGACCTGCACAGCCAATCAAAATGGATCTCGTGCAGACTGTGACTTGGGAAATCCATTCAAAAGCAAATCAGTAGTGAGTTTTAATGGCATTGTTTTTTTTGGGGGAAGCAAGAACATTTATAATAAACCAAATGCACATGTAGTAAACACAAACCTTAAAACTTGAAACTTTATTCCCTTCTATTTCTGTAAGCATTCTCTGCATTTCAGCCCTGATTACTATCTGAGAGCAATACAAGAATAGCATTTTCAGAAAAAAGGGGCAACATGAAATATTATTGATGATTGTATTGTACTGTGCAATGCTAAAATTGTGCATGGGAGATGTCCATTGTTTGTTAAAATGCAGCTTACGTTAGGGAGAGCATTGTGTATATACTGTCTGTAGTTTAATCTTTCTGTGTTAAATGCTGCAAATATTTTCAGGTCACTTTCTACATAATTCTGAGCACTTCGGGTATTACTTTGGACACCACACAAGTTGAAATTGACCTTCAGCTTGAAACGTAAGTTGTATAATCATCTCCTTTCCTCTGTTTCTTATTGTAGACTTTTTTTGCTGACTTTAGCCTTTGGACTGACACTGCAAAATACATTTCATACAACTTACCTTTAGTTCTGATTCCCAGAAAGAAATTTCCCATTTCCCAGAAAGATTTTTTTTTGTTCACACCTACACTGGAATGGAATTAATGGAATTTCCTCAATGAATTATGCGATTATGCAGTAATTAATTTTTAAAAAATCAGTGTGGACAGTATTATGTTTCGTAGGAGCAGGTTAAGGTGATGTAGAACACAAGACATACTATATCTATACTAAAATTACATAATTCTGTCCTTTACCCTGCAGGGCAAGTGAACAGAAGAACCTGCCTAAACTAAAAGCAAATGCTAAAGTATTAATAGCATTGCTCCTGTCAGTCTCTGGGTAAGCTCCATTCTCCGCCGATTCTATGAACTTCTTAAAACTATATTGACTTCTAATTCCTCCTTTTAAGTGTTTGTACTCAGGTATGGCTGAGCGCAAACAGCCATACAAACAGGTTTGGTGGTCTAGTGAATTGAATGCAATTCAATCTTGCATTTCCACTGCATTGCATTGGAGTTTAGCAGATTCTGGCTGGCAAGTCTTTGAAGCATAGTGAAATTTAATGGTACAAAAGAACAATACAGGACTATTTAATGACTACAATACATAAGACTTGTTATTCTACTTAATTTTTCATACTCTGTATGATCACAGGACAGTGAGTATGAATTTCAGCTCTTTCTGTTAAGTTCCTATGTTGAATCACTGGTCCAAACCAGTTCACCTGTACAGAATGATTTGCCAGATGGTTCATGAAGTACTTGTTTTAAGAAGACCTATACTTTATCCACTAGTGTGGCACGGCCTTCCCAGGTTTACTTTGGAGGAACTGTGAAAGGAGAGAGTGCCATGAGGAAGGAAGATGATATTGGGAGTTTAGTTGATTATGAATTCAGGGTAAGTATTTAATCTAATTCACATCTTTAGCATGTATCTCTCAACGTATGCCCCATTCTGCCCCTCATTAATTCTGTGGTGACTTTAGCAAGAGCTCAAGGTGATGAAGTCTCAAGTGGCTCTTAGATGTAGAAATTCTAATGCACCCATCTTCATATACAGTAAAGGCTTTCTTGAAGATGCAATGTAAATCACAACAGAATTGCCCTCCATTAGGCTGTTAAATGATTTTTAATAAGCTTGAGATTCAATATGAAATGCCGAGGCTGTGGATGGACAGTTCCTTCATGGATTCATGTTCATGTGGCTTGAATTTGTTTCTTGGTTTTTGTGCTGCAGTTACGTAATAGAGCTACAGGCTATAGTCCTATAGTACTATAGTAATATCCTGGTTTTCTTCTTATATTCTTATATTATATTCTTCTTATATTGCATCATCTGAGAAACAGAGACATAACAGCGAATTCCACACCTCAGTACTTATTAATTGGACTGATTCAAATCTGTATTCCCAATGTCCTTATTTTTTTGTTATATAGTTCATATTAATGTACTATGGATACGTGAAGCTGTTGTCAGACACCCGTGAAACCTTTTTTTTTGTTCTTTAACAGGTGATCAATTTGGGAAAGCCGCTGAAATCATTTGGCAGTGCTTCTCTGAATGTTCAGTGGCCAAAAGAGGCAGCAAATCATAAATGGTTGTTATACTTGATGAAAGTTAGCGCTACTGGTACAAAGAGAATAGACTGCACTCCTCGAGGGGAGGTAAACTCTTTAAATTTGGTAAGTTAAGCTTCGGCCTTCAAATATATGAAATGTATTTTCCAGAAATTAACAACTGTATGTCTGGTTGCAGTATTGCGTAGGTCTTTGACCTTTAATGGCATGCCTCCATGAATTTGTAACCAAAATACTCCTTGTTAATATTTAAATATTACCTTCTGTAGCTTGTGTGTTTTACTAATGCACAGCTACTGATGTCCTGCTACCTGCAATAGATTATCAAGAAGGTCCCATGGCTTTATTCAAACTTTATTGTAGAAAAAAATATATTTTACAACACAGTCCGATACAGCAATAAATGAAGAAGAGAAACATACCAACAGAGAAGATGGTACACTATTGTTACAGGAGATAAGAGACTTCTTTTCTTTTGAGAGAAAGATTTCAGCAGGGATGAAAAATTTCAGGAGTCTGCTACAGTACCTTAACATCTGGGGAGACGGAGGCATCTCCCCGATATAGTGCAAATTCGCAATGCAGGACTTGAGACGCACACTCCATCTCTCCAACCCTTACTTTCACTATTAGAATTAACAGTACTGATGTTGCCAAACCAAAAAGTGTGACAGTACAAGTTGACACACTTTCAAGAAATTACTTATAGATTAAATTACTTGTGATTTAGTGTTAATATAGTTAATAAGTTAAAAGGGTCTCTTCTGGTGTTTTTTATATATGGTGTCATACCATTTGACCCATCACAGTCTTTTGTCTATATCCCAAGTACTTGTAGTTACTTACAATTTATTGGAGTGTAGCAAATTACAGTAGGTTGGAGGAGTGTTGCATTTTACCTAAAATCAATGACCAGTTCTTTTATTTTCCAAACATTTAACATCAAAACAAGCTCATCACACCATTGAGTAGAATCATTTAGAATGGGCCCGTAATGATTAGAAGCTGACCAGCTCTGTGTCAACTGCACACTTTATGAGATGTCCATCTCTGTGTGTATCCCTGGCTGTGCTCTGTAGGGGAGACAAGACACAGCCCAGTGGTGATCCAGTGGAAGTGTAACAAATGCCAGATAACTATTTCCACAATATAACTTTTTTTACAGGATTTTTATTCCTTTTTTTTTTCCTTTCAGACACCTTCCAGCAGTTCTAGGAAAAAGCGTGAAACTGAACAAAGACAAACACCAGGGGAGGGAAAATTTTCCCTTTTCATGGACAAAAGAAAATACACCACTCTGGTAAAAGATTTAGTAGTTTTTTTTGTAGATTTTCTTCTTCTTTTCTTCTTGGTGTGTGTGTGGGGGGTGAGTTTTAGGTGGATAATGCCCACAGATCCTATCTGTGGAATAGAAAGATCTCTGATACACGAGCCTTTTTGGTTGCAGAGCTGTGGCAATGGAACACAATGTGTGGAGATCAGGTGCCCGCTACAGGGATTGGATAACAACCCAATCATTGTTCTAAGGTCAAGACTCTGGAACAGCACCTTCCTTGAAGTAAGTAATACTACTGTGCGTACAAGGAGTATGCAAATAATACATTTTTGATGCGAAACACCTATTTGTACCCCTTCGACAAGTGATATGACCACAGTTTTAGTTTAATCATTTGACAGTGGTTAACATTAAAGACCCTTATTTTTTGTTCAGGCCAAGAGATTTTAACAATTTTTTTATCGTTTGCATTTGTAACTGGTTACTATCTACAGAAATCACGAGCTGAGTATGATTGTTCAAATTATAGCACTAAAAGATAAACGTGGTCAAACTTCACAATTAATGACTACTTGATCAAATCCTGGTGGCACGGTAGTACAGCAGTTAGTATCGCTGCCTTGCAGTGCTGGGGCCCTGGGTTCAATTTCAGACCTGGAGTGCTGTCTGTGTGGAGTTTGTATGTTCTCGCGTGTTTGTGTGGGTTTCCTGCAGGTGCTACAGTTTCCTCCCACTGTTAAACGACATGCTGGTAGGTTAATTGACTTCAGGGAAAATTGGCCCTGGGGTGGGTGTGTGTGTCATGGACTGGTGTCCTATCCAGGGTGTACCCAGATTTCTGCCTGTGGCTTGCCAGGTTAGGCTCCAGCTCCCCTGCGACCCAGAATTTGAAGAAGCAGTTAGAAAATAATGGATGATCAAATTCCGTTATCACTTAAATGACTGTTTAATATTGAAAAAATGTAATTTCCCATGTATTCACATACACATGTCATAAGGTGCCGTGTATAAATTAATCTGCCTGAAATGATAAAATAGATAAAATACCGGTTTGTGGACGCATGCAACATCTTCAGAGACATGCTGCATTTTTTAATGCTGTATTTTTGTCACAGTTGTGTTTAATCCAGACATTCTACAAGTGATGTAAATGTCTTCTTTCTAGGACTATTCAACCCTGAATTACCTTGACATTCTTGTCAAAGCCTCTCTCAGCCTTGACGCCTCTGCAAAGAACATTGTGCTTAAAAATGCAGAAACTCAGGTATGGCCCTCACAACTTTCCTCTTCCTCTTTAACGGTGCCCCCACATTGATTATATACAATACTCAACATAAAAAGACACTTCCACTTCTAACTGCAACACACTCCCAAAGGTATCAGAAAAATAACAATCCTTTTTGTAGCCGGAATGCTTGATCGGACAGGATATAATTCTTAATGCTGTTAAACATTTTCTCAACAGAGTTTCAGGTGTTCTCTGATGTGGCATAAAATGAATTTGCTGTGTCCCTCTTCATCCTAGCCCCTGTCAGATTAGCTCGCCTTTTGATTAAAATAAAGGAGAGTGTGTCGCTGAAGAAGCTTCTTCAGGAGCAGGGAAGCCATTCAAACCTGTTATCTTTTTTGTTGTACACGTATAGGTGAAATTGACAGTCTTCCCGGAAAAGACAGTGGCAAAGTACACAGGAGCACCCTGGTGGATTATCTTGGTTGCCATTCTTGCTGGAATCCTGATGCTGGCTCTACTGGTGTTCCTGCTTTGGAAGGTAACGAAGCTGAAATGAATCCTTATTACAAGAGTCAATCACAGTTGTTTCTGCTGAACAGTAGTTTTAGTGTAGTCTCTGTAAAGCAGCAAAAATTTGATAAAATATGTATCAAGGAACAAGGATAATCCTCTCAGATATCGACAGTTTACCCTTCTAGAAAAAAAAGTTACTTAAATGTTTAAATAATTACAACAACAGTCTATTATTTCATCCTGTGTCTAAATGTCTGTAATTATGGCCAACAAAATGACATAACGCCTTGCTTCCTTTTAGTGTGGTTTCTTCAAGAGAGCCAAAAAAGACCATTATGATGCTGCATATCACAAGGCTGAGATCCATGTTCAGCCATCTGACAAAGAAAGACTTACTACTGATGCATAGTGCTCGTCTCTGCACTCAGTATTGGGTAATAAAAGCTCAGCGAATCTCTGTGGGTGTAAAGTAGACAGGGAACGTGGGGCTTAACAAACACTAACTCACTTTTGCCGAGAGGGAAATCACTTTCTTGGAAGGATTTTTTGTGCAGTTTGGAAATTTACGTCAACCGATGCTTCTCAGAATTCATCTATTTTAAATCTTTTTTATTTTAGTGAACATTTCATTTGAGGGAGGTTACTGAAAGTGACCCTACCAAGAGGGTCAAAATGAGTTCTAAATCTCCACAAGTGACTTTCTCATAAGCATTCACCTATTCTAGCAAATTTTAACATTTAATAAGTGAATGTTTACTGTAAGTAACTCTGCCAAGAGCATCAAAATGAGCTCTAGATCTCCACAAGTGACCTCGTCAATGAATGACCCTAATTTGAAATCAGTCCAGCCAGAATAATTGATTTCTTGTTTTCTCCTTTGCCAACTTAATTACTATTGTTGGGTACATTTCTGCATTGGTAAATTTCCACCTTGCACTGAAAATCTTTCTCCCAAATATTGCAGTTACAGAATTTCTAAGCCTTATACTGTATTAAACACTTCTCTTGCACCAAAAGCACAGCACTGCCCTGGTCTTCATGCAAAAGTATTCCAGATTTTTAACGCCTGTTTCTCCCAAGGTTTGTAAAGGTGCCTTTTTTCCAGGTTGCTGCTTTGCCATCCTGCTGGCTTCTTGGATTTTGTTTTGCATAATGCTTTCCATGTTTAATATTAAGCATGATTTCTGTTCTTGTCCACAAACAGACAAAAAACGCCCATTTCCCTTTTATTTCAAGCTTCTCTCCTAAGCGCTAGTAAATTGAGTTATTTTTTAAACAGTGGCTGGTGATTTTTGAAGTCCCTAACATCTCTTCTGCTTCCTCAGTGTGGATTTTTCAAGCGCTCCAAGTACGACGACAGTGTTCCCCGATACCACGCCGTTCGGATACGGAAGGAGGAGCGCCAGTTTAAAGACGGAAAGACCAAACTTGTCAAACTTGAAAAAAAACAGTGGATGACCACTTGGAATGAGAATGAAAGCTATTCCTAAGACTTGTTATCACTTTGGCGGTGTTATGGAAATCCCAATGGATGCAAAGCTCCTCAATGACATTCCAAAAGACAGAGGTTCTTTATTTTGAATGGGCTTAATGTGATTGTATGGATTTTTTTTTAAAGGGCCATTTACATTCAATTTGCATTCAGAAATTTACCCTTCATTACAGTAACAGCTTAAAATCTGTATAGAACTACCATTAAATCACACACCTTGTCACTTAGACAGAATAAAGCTCCTTAGGTTTTGATTTTGTTTTTTCCTGTTTTAAAACTTTGCTGTAACCATCATGCTATTGTATGCATCTTGTCTGTGTAGGGTGATCATTTGGGTTGAATCCTTTCCTTATCTTTAAAGCAGAAATATCCACACGGGATGCAGTTATGTGTTTAAGATGTCCCTGGACATCCTGCAGTTCTCTATGTTCTATGGGTATATAGGTTTTTCAGCTGTAGCACCAGGTTGAAACTTCCAAGACGATTTGTTTTTTGACCTCACTGTTTTAATCTGTTAAAACAGATCTTCAAGATCTATTTTTATGTATAGGCTGGAACATTTTGTATGTTTTGTATATATTTAAATATTTTTAGCACAATCTGGTATTTATTTTGACATAGACTGTTCTTAAAATACACATAGGCCAAAGATTCCTGTTGCTCATTTTGATGAAAAGTGTTATGCAGAGATCAAATGAACCTAAGGTACCATAATGATGATTTGGGAGAAAGGTGACTGCTGCACTAGAAAATGTAACCTAGGGCTTTCGTTTGTAACCACACTACTGACAATTACATTTTTTTTCACTTTTAATGTACATAGTAAGTCAACTGTCTTTGTCTTAAGTGCCGTTTTCTTCATTTAGTTGCCTTTCCTCTCCAGTGTTCTGCACAGCCTGAAACCAGTCTGTACGTTCTGCACGACCTGAAACCAGTCTTTCAGGATTATTTCAGATTTTCACTTTGTATTACAGTATGTTGCTTCTGCTCACAATCTGCATGGTAAGATTGTAAAGGACCTTCAAAAACAAAATTAATTCAGTGCAATCATGGCATAATATGCAATATTGGCACCGTATTTTATGCCCCCTTAGCACTCATTCCTCTACTCCAGAACAAAGGAAAATGTATTATTGAATATTCTTGACAAAAATAAATCAATGTGAACTACAATTGTGAAGTTCAGAGAAGCAATTATTTTAACTGTTTGCAAAATAACAATATAAACATGTAGAAAGAATTGGAAACCTATTAATAGGTCATGTAAATAGTTTATAATTGGCTTAAGATGTCTTTAGGAAGCTAAAAAAGCTATAGTGGGGATATAGCTTTGTTGATGTTTTTTCAGTTTGGAAATTTGTATAGTGAACAGGGCTTCACCATACAGTTACTTACACTTCAAAAACCTTTATCTGTCATCAGTGCATTAAAAAAGGCTCATCACTGACTCGTGTCTCAAATTGATCCATCTTTTCCAAACCTGGCTCCAAAAACTCTAACCTGTGGATTTGTTTTGTAATTAAAATAACAGAAATAAAACTTATTTTCATTTTTGACTGTTTTTCTGTCTTTTATTCACCTGAATTGAAAAGCATGTTACAGTATAATGTGTATGAACATTTCCATTTTGAATTTTGAGGGAGTGCCACTTGCAGCCTTGCCAGTCAGTGTATTGCTTTTGTTGAAAATGTGTAGTTTTGTTTTTGTTGTCATGACCTCAGTCCTCTTCATCTCTCAAATTATACAGTCAAGTTATACAACAGTGAACAAGCAAAGGTTAAATCTAAAAAGTAAGAGAAAAATACTTTTCACCTCTGAAGCCTTTTTTAGGCATGGAGTATACAGTATGTTCTTTTGGAGCCACCACACTCTAATGACTTCTCAATATTTCTCTGTTATTGGACTTAAGTATTGTATGTGCCTTTCTGAAATCGCTGAGAAAGTATAATTTTAAATCTTTTACCCAAATTTAATTGGAAAAATGTTTTTTCAATGACAACCTGAAGACTACACATTTATGTGGCACTACAATTACTGAAGCAGTCTGAGTGAAATACCTTGCTCAAAGGCCCAAAAGCAGAATCCCACTTGGGACTTGAACCTATGATATGGATATAAGTATGTTTATTACTTTTGAAATCCTGATATCCAGGTACAGTAGGTTACTATTAACATTAATGAACAGTGCCCTCTTTATTCATATTTCCAGAGAAAAGAAAGGAACAAAAAACATGCAACAGAATGATTTATGGATTAAATAGTGCCTTTGCTTACAAAAATCTAAAACTTACTGTGGCAGGCTGGGTCAGAAAAGTGATAATTACAACTTGCCTGCCACTAGAGGTCATTTTATGCCTCCTAGTGTTGTAAATAGATATGCTAGGTGAAGATTAATTAGATAGTTGTTATAAGATGGATTCTCTCGTGGTTGCCATTTGTAATGTCTGGTATTTAAAGGGCTTCACTGTGTTAGTTTGTGCTCAGGCTGTGGAATATCAAGCCTTGGTATGTTCTGGAGGAAATGTATCCACAATAAAGACACTTTTCACTATAATTCTTTAAATCATCAGTTTTCATGTGCTCAGACGCTGTGAATCACCTTACTTAGTTGGACCTGTCACAGCTATGTTCTGATTACTGTATCTTTGCACAGAAGAAAATCAGATTTGTCATAACTGAAATCTAGAAAATGAGTATTATTTATTCATATTTAAGTATGTCTTAATCTGTAACGACAGTATGTTCTGAGGATTAAAGCCTCTGGACCAATTTAGAGGCCTCTGAAGGTTTTGGTTCCTTTGGGTGTGAAAGGAGGAAGCACATAGAAGACATTTAGGATCAGATCTCTGAAGACTGCAGGCAAAAGCTCATTCACCTCCGCAAATTGGGGAATAGCTATGAATCAACAAAAAGTTTAATCTACTTTCCACTGTAGTGCCCATTACAGTGTAGTTACAATTGCATTATTAAGAATTTTTAAGGAAATTGGTATAATGGCAGCTCTGTCAGAAAGGGGTCACAAGTGTATTTTGGCACCAGCAGTTAAGAGACAAGTGGGTTTTTCTAGGAAACTGAAAATCCAAAACTCAAGCAGGTTTTCCTTAGGAGTTGCCAGTACTTTACACCATCCACTTTTCCATCAATACTAACAAGGTTTTCAGTCCCTACTGGTGAGAAGAGTCCACCGTGCCACTGTTGTGATTAATATGGTGTTGCCTGATGTGCTGTGTTGGGCTTGTGAGAAATGTAGTAATATTTATTTAGACCAAAAAGTTGACTTTCTGTGTCATCTGCCCATCAAATGTGACATTTCTGCAGTATTGTTTACATGTTTCTACAGTAGTAGCTGCTTTCTCGTCGCTCACCTATACATACCAGATGTATTTAGCGATTGGGATATCGATGATGATGTATAAACAGTGACTACCATCTCAGATACAACTATGCAAATCTTTCACAATCGCTGCTGGATTCACGGCTACTCCATTTGGAAAGAATGTCTGCCCGGGTTTGTATGACACACATTCCATTATTTAATAATGATCGTCCATCCATTTTCTTACTGTTTCCTCCCCTTCAGGGTCGTGGGGGAGCCAGCAAGCAATGGGCTCAAGGCAGGACACTGGGACGCCAGTCCTTCGCAGGGCCCAGACAAACACCAGGGCCAGTTTTAACAGGAGCCAATCAACTTACCAGAAAGTCTTTGGTTTGTGGGAGGAAACCAGAGCACCTGGAGGAAACAGCATGCAAAAATAGGGAGAATGTACAATTTCCATTCAGATGGCACCCTAGGCCCCCACCAGTTCATGGCAGCAACGCAGAACACTGCCCCACCATGCCACCATAACAATGAGCAGTGAAATTTACTTGTGCATTTCTCCTGTTTTCTGCTGCTCTACCCAATTTATCCCTGGCTTGTTTTGAAAACACCTTGGTTTTCATGGTTGGTTTGCTGTATTACTTTGTGAGATGTGCTTTGAAATTCAATGTCTAACTGAGGGCACTCACAGAGACGCATACATTCCCATACAAGTTAAACCACTTTTATTACACTTATAAATATTTTGTGACCTTTCAGATGAAGGTTTGGATTCTGGACTGCAAGATTGCTTTAGCAAAGATGTTAAATACCTATGCAAGCTCAGAATTCAAAAAAATATTTGCAGCCAGGTGATTACTTTTCAAGGCTATTAAAGGCTATATGGTTATTCAGTTCATGTTATACAAACGAATATCTGCAGGATTTCTTAAGTGTCCATTAAGAGACTTAATGAAATTTCGAACTGTTATTATTGGCGATTCAAGGACACTGCATAGGTGAAACTGAATTAGGATTCATGCGATAGAGGGATAAAATTACAACAGTCTGTAAATACTGACAGTGCACTACAATAAATGCGTACTCGTACACGTGACACAGGTGAAAACATAATGGTAGTGATGCAATATAAACACTTCACAAACACTGATCATCAGTTTGATGGCAGGGTACAAACAGCAACTCCTGGATATTATCTTTAAATCGCCGTTGTCACGTGACAATGTCCTTCTCAGCATTCAGGCAAGTGAGCCAAGACTGTGTCGCACACAGCCAATGGGCTTTTGCAGCACACATCAAGCAATCAATAGCAGGACTTTTCTTAAAGGGCATAAGTGCACACCAAATATTACAGTAAAATCAGAGAAAGGGGTGACTTGTGTGGTAGCCTCTTTGCGGGAACAACGACTGCAACGAAATACTAATGAATAGTTTAGGAGTCCTCCAATTTCCAGTTAATTATACTGTTTGCAAAACAATCTGTGTATTTGAGTTGATTGGTAAATGCCGCAACTCCAACGCCGATTTCATATCTTTGCGGAAACCTGTTTTTTTAAAATAACAAGTTCACTTCCTCCGCTCTGTGCTGCGTGACAACGATTGGCCAACGCTTTAGTCACGTTGTTTGAGTCTTTATTGAGCGACATTAACCTACTGAGGAATAGGAACTGGTGTTTGCAAAGACCAACGGGGGTTATTTGTGTGCTGTTTGTGTTAATGCTACCATGTTAGAAAAGTTAACCTTCAAAACGCGTTATTTTACTTTATCATCTGCGCACATAACTGATCACTTTATTTCCAAACTTGGAAGTAGCAGCTCACTGAGGAACATTTAATCTATTTGACAGGACCGATGTCGTTTTAGACTGCTGAGCATTTGTATTCATTCTGCAAAGGCACAAATTAAGAAGAGGATACAAAAAAAAATACACAGGCACAGAAAACCATTCCGAGGTCTTGGTAGCTGCGTGAATGTCGTTTTTCAGCTACCCCAGTTAAACTGAAAAACGGACGAGTTTGTCTTGGTTGTTGTGCATTGATCTTAGCTATGTGATAGTGAGAGCACGGAGTTAAAATCACTCAGGTGAGAAGAACGTATCCATCAACATGAGGCTCCTAACATTTCTTTTGAAAAACGGCTCTCTCGGCAAACAAGTGGATTTCTACTCCAGATTTTCTCCTTCCCCTCTGTCCATGAAACAGTTCTTGGATTTTGGTGAGTGATTTGGACTGTTTTGCACAATTGGTACGCAAAGATGTGCTTCTTCGCTATTCTGTAGACGAAGTATAATCAAAGCTTAAAAGTAAAAACAGCCATACACAATATGCACCGCAGGGCGATAATGACAGGCAGTCTCCAATTACATAACAGTTCTGTAGGTAGATACTGTAACTTTGTTTTTCATACCTATTCGAAATGGAAAAAGTAAAAGCTGACGGACTGGTCTCCTGTCCTGTCCTAGACGGCTGGTGCTTTTGAAAAACACTGATAACATGTATTTCTCACAGGAGAAAACAAATCTAAACCAAGTTGTCTTTTAGACCTTAGTGATACTTTAAACTCAATCGATGGTTCCCATGTAAAGTAGGCCTAGTTCCATTTTGATATGTTTATACCTCGATGTAGTTGATATTTCCCGAGACCAAACATCCCATGCATAATCAAATACAATAAGAAGAACTGTATCAAATATGTAAAACCTGTTTGTAATTCTTTAGATGGCTTTACATCCTTACAATAATACTCATGGGAAGAAATGTGTTGTACAGAGAAAAATTATTTTGAGCTCCTAGCATATTGTAATTAAGATAAACAATACTGATTAAACGATCTGATAGCAGATATCCTTGGTTTTTCGTAGTAGGTGCCTTAACCTGTACTATTTTGGATGAATCAACTATTGTACAATATCTGTAGCAAAAGGCTAGATGCTTGTTTCATTGCCCCAGTGAACTATTTGTAACCATCTTTTAGTCAGACCTCATAATATTGAGCTCCTTTTAGCAAGATAGAGCTATAGTACAGTATATATTTTTTTTACAGTTGAGCATTCTTGTCTCTTTTCAGGGTCAGAAAATGCATGTGAAAGGACATCTTTTGTGTTTCTGAGACAAGAACTTCCTGTCAGGTTAGCGAACATCATGAAAGAAATAAACCTGCTGCCTGACAATCTGCTCAAAACTCCGTCTGTTCAATTAGTCCAGAGCTGGTAAGTTAATTCAATAGTTATAATAAATAAGTACTGCTTAATCTGATATCTTTTTAAAGTGTATGTTCCAGCTGCCAAAGGCTGCTTTTTACTTGATTTTTTTTCAGTCCAACTTTTCGGCAGTGCTGTTTTCAAAGGAGGCGTTAAACACTAAGTGGTAGAGCACACAGAAAACAAGCCTTAAACGCAGACATGAAAACGCTTTATGTTTTAATTTTGTATCCATTTGTTTTCTAGCCACTTCATTTGATTCAGGGTGGCAGAGGAGCCAGATTCGACCCCGACAAGCGCCAGTCCACCGCTGGCCACACAGACACAAACACGCGCACACTCGCACCAGGGCCAGTTTTTAACAGAAGCCAATTAACCTGCCAAGGAGGAAACCCATGTGAATGTGGGGGAGAGCATGCGAACTCCACACAGACAGTGCCTCAGGTCCGGGATTGAACCCAGGGCCCCAGCACCTCAAGGCAGCAATGCTAACCACTGTGTCATTACAATTAACTTGAAAAACTTCAGCACAGCAGCTCCACATCCCATTTTAAGTATGGTGTGCAGAGCTCTTCACATTTTCTTAGAGAGGGCTTCCAGAGTTCTGCACATTGGCACCAGGAGAGATTTTAGTATTGCCCATGTAGTTAATATGATGGTTCTTTAGATCAGGATGGTGCTTGTCCCAGACGTCATTAAGCTTCCTGAACATTTTGTGTTCCATTTGAACATTTTTGTACTTTGGTAAAAAACTAAATCAATTGAAATGGAAAATTCTCTGTGTCATATTTTGCAGGTATATACAGAGCTTCCAGGAGATCCTTGACTTCAAGGAGAGAAAAGCTGAAGACGACAAAGTCATTTACGAGTGAGGGAAATGGTCTTCGTGTTTACTTTTCCTTGACCTTTGCAAGAGTTGATGGCGACAGCGGCTGAGTGATGTTCTTGCTGGCATTTCAGCTTCACGGACGCCGTAATAAAAATCCGAAATCGCCACAATGATGTCATCCCCACCCTGGCCCAGGGAGTGGTGGAGTACAAGGAGTCCTATGGCATTGATCCTGTGACGAGCCAGAATGTGCAGTACTTCCTCGATCGCTTTTTCATGAGCCGCATATCAATCCGAATGCTTCTCAATCAGCACAGTAAGTACTGTACGTAACGGGGTCAGTGGGGAAGATCAGGTCAAAGGAACTGTGCGTATGCAGAATGACAAAATAGACATTCAGCAATTGCCTTGAAGGTTGTTTACATCAGATGTAGTTGGTTTCCTTTGGGGGAGGGGGTCTGATGTAGCTTTTTTCACCTGTAAATGCATTTCTGACAACATTGTTGGACAGTCGTGTGGTAGAGATGACATGGCGCACGCAAAACACATCAACCTAAGAAAGGGGTTGCTGGAAGACTTTAATTGCATTTATGGGTTTTCCATGTCTCTTACTTGGGTTAACAGTAGTTTTTGTGGTGCTCAGGAAGTCTCTCATGTGATGGATTGCAAGGGCTTTCGGTGGTATCCCTGCTGCTGGAGTTGATGAGCAATGGGGTCAGACTCCTTAAAGTTCAGTATTCCTGCCAGCACGATTCCCAGAGCACATTCTCTTTCTGTGTCATCATTAATTTGGGACATCTGAAAACCTCCGTGCCTTCTATGCATGCAGACCTGCAGACATACTGTATCTCTTTACTATACATCTTAAGTCCATTTTATATCTGGGACTCGGTACCAGGGAGTATAAAAGAAGTTACTAAATGTTTTCTGTAGGCTTATTGCAGCTACTTTAATTGATTAGTATTGAATAGTTATTAATTATGGATAAAACATGCTTTGTTTATTCAGCTTGACTATGTCCGATAGGAACGTATAGCCCCCAGGGTGTGATCATGAATCAGTACAAAACTGAATTAGAATTAGGCTGTGCTTGTCTGTCTTCAATTTTCTGCTTTTCCTTTCTCAGTGTGACATTGCCTTCAAAATGTGATGTGATTTTCAAGTGCAGTGTCGGATCTGTACTGTGTCCCCCACCCCCACTCCAACCCCCAGTAAGGGAAAAAATGTTTGAAGTGTATTTAACTCAGGTTTTCCTCAGAAGCAGTCTGTGTCTTCTGTAGAATGGCTGCCATTTAAGCTGACCCTGGTGCAAACGGAGCCCAGTGTTTGTCCTGCTCCCTATTCATTGTCTTGTGAAGCACATAAGGAAAAGTCATTTCAAAGAAAAGTTGTGGAGATAACAAAAATGGCACTTACAGCTTAATGAGCTTTTGGCTGCCTACCCTGCTGTTGCAGGGTTTTGATTTTAGTGTATTAATGCCTTTCAGTCCGGAAATCACTTTGTGTCCGTTGTTTTCAAGCTTTACTCTTTGGTGGAAAGGTGAAAGTAAACCCAGCTCATCCTAAGCAGATTGGGAGCATTGACCCTCATTGTCGTGTTGAAGAAGTGATCAAGGGTATGTGAACGTCTTATTCCTCTGGTTTTTATTCTTACAGTATAGTCTCCCTGTTGCCCTAGATCAAAGCATTGGCTGTACAGTCTAATGAATTCTTCTGATGTTTTTGCAGCTTTCTGTTTTAGATTATAACTAGAGGTTTATTGTTTTTTTCTTGAATGGGGGTTTAACAATTTACTTTTAAGGACCACATGAATATGACAAAAAGTTTATGAGACTCATTCTCATTGAATTTTGAATGTTGGGACTTTTCTAAAGTGTGTGTTTATCTACCGTTATCCTAATCCAGCACATACTTTGTAGAGCAAAAATGGGATCTGTTAATAAATGAATATGTGCTGACAATTTCTGTGCTGTGTGTGTATAATTAGCTTTCCCGATTTTTGTTGAGTTAAATGGCAGTACAAGGAAGTGTCTTCATAGCCTGGTGTAGAGAAAGAAGCTTCTTTTGTTGTATTTTAAAATATTCTTGGGTTATACCTCATCATAGTTTTGTCTGGTTTGTCACATTATTTTGTACAGTTGTTCATAAGGTAAGATTATACAACCTTTTTAGTAAATTAGTTATGTTAGTGTGCTGCAATAGGTTTAGATTTAGATAGTCATTTTTAAAGATTATTTCCTCCTTTAAAGCTGATAGTTTTGAAATGCTGTGTTTTGATCTTTTCATTTAGATGCATATGAAAATGCAAGAAGACTTTGTGACCTCTATTATATGAACTCACCAGAGCTGAAACTGGAAGAATTTAATGGTAAGTGGAAATGTTGTTCTAAGCTTTCTTAAATGTAATTCGCTTTATTTTACTTTACAAATTCTCTGTTTTGATGTAATCCATTTTATTATATATATTTTGCTGCCTGCTTATAATATTGAGACAATGTTTTTAGAGGTAATTCATTGCAGGTAGGGCTGAAGAGTTTGGTCCAAATAAAACATTTTCCTGGGATTTGAAAATTAATTTTGTGACTAATCCAAACCATGAAGACAGACTATGTACAGTATAGCATCTGATTTGTTGTGGTTTTACTGTCAGTACATATTGGGCAGTGTTAGTCTAGTAAGTATAACAGAGTGCTGTATGTGTTTAAGCAGCATCATCCAAATCTAGATTGCTTTCCATATGACCTGGTTTCTCTGGCTGTTTACCACATGTGGAATGTTTGCTACTGTTCAGCAGGATAAGAGAAGATTCAGATACATTATTCAGAGTGGTTGTGTGATGTTTCTGTGTGCCTGGAGTATGACTTTTAAGCTACCACTTCACTGCTGTGAATAGGAACAAAATTGCATTTAAAAAATGCACCATCAGCAGCAACAGGGATTTCAACAGCTGACTGATGCACATCTTCTCCAAAGAGCAGAATGCAAATACAAAGGATGCATTAGAGTGTTTCTGTATTCAAAAGTAATTAGAGAAAAAGAATGCTCTGTCCATGTTAGCGTGGTGAATACTGTCATTAGTTGGATGGTCTGTTGGCATCTGTAAATAATTTTTAAAAATGTAAGAAAATCTTTATGGTTTCACTGTTTCTGCAGCTAAAGAAAGAGGAAAGCCAACAACAGTGGTATATGTACCTTCCCACCTCTACCACATGGTATTTGAGCTTTTTAAGGTGTGTTTTGTGCGTTCTACAGTATTTTGGATTTCACAGAACTGTAGCCTGACCTCCAGATTCACCTGAGCACACAATACAGATGCATACTGCTTTTAAATGATCATACTGTGTAACTGATGTATTCTCCCTTTGATCTACTGATGTGATTGAATGTGGAGTAGTTCCATAGTTCCATCACATTTCTGTAGAGACTGACTTCAGTATGTACAAGAAAACTCTGAAAAACAGAACATTAAATTGTGAATAATATAACTTACTGCGTGATTTGCTTTTGTCTGAATTGTCCTATAAAATGTATTTTAAACACTTAAATCTTGAACACATCACAGAAAATCTTATTATTTGGGTTTCCACTTCACAAAAGCTATACAATATTTTTTCCCTGATCACAGGTCCTAGATGATTTTTTTTCTGATGCCTTGAGTTGATTTTGTTGATTTAAACAATTTTAGTCTGATCTCACGATTGTTACACCCATCTTATACAGAGCCCTTGGAGTAACAATACTAAATATTTTAGTCTCTTCAAAACTAGAATTGTAATAAATGAGCTTGTACGCACAGTTCTGTCCAGGTCAGTACTAGATAAATTCAGCAGTGCAGCTGTTGGTTTCTATGCAGAACCTTAACAGTCTTAAACCCATATTGTGGGCATTTCTTTTCAGAATGCCATGAGAGCAACAATGGAATATCATGGGGTCATAGCGGAGTATCCGCCAGTCAAAGTTCAGGTTGCATTGGGTCATGAAGATCTGACAGTGAAGGTAAAGATTTTTTTTTTCCTCCTGGGATTTATCTTAGTTTAATACACTTGCAGTGTGATGAACGGGTGTTCATGTTCTTCCTGTGTTTGCCAGATGAGTGACCGCGGTGGAGGCGTTCCTTTAAGGAAGATTGAGAGGCTGTTCAGCTACACATACTCCACTGCCCCACTGCCTCGCATGGAAACCTCTCGGGCAACTCCTCTGGTGAGCTGCCAGTCATTCAGGTGTCCTCTGGTTTGGACCAGACAGGACGTGGTTTATCTGTCCAGTGCTCTTTCCCAGCTTCTTAAAAGGGAGTGTTAATACCGAGTTACAGCAAAGGGTGACGTGTCCTGCGAAAGACGATCACTAGGTGTCAGTATTGCTGAGCGGGAATTAAATAGTCTGACAAAAATTGAAGGTGAATATGCTCTGTGTGAGAAGAAGGAGCACTAAAGGTGGTATTGAAATGTTCAGGAAGGAGTTCAGTTTGAATGATTCAAGAATTTTCAGTTAATATTTGGAGAGGCATACTTCTAACAAAAGCAAGAATTCTAGTTGTTTAAAGCCATTAAAAGAAGCGAAGTCATATTGCGATTTTAATGTTTAGAGTCCGACATTTCAGGAAGGAAAGACTTAGGAGCAAAAAACAACAAAAAGCCTTTGTTCAATCATTCCATTAATCATTATCGGAATGTATTTACTTTAACAGTATCTCAATAGTAGTGTACTCACTTTTGATTGGCAACACCGTAAAATGGAAGATAAAGTTGTTTTCCTTTCAAAACTGACACAATTGAGTTCCAAAGATCAGTTATTTCTTTAACAGTTGGAAAGATAAGTGAGCCAGTGTGCTTAGGTAAATGTCTTAAATCTATCTGTGGAAGTGTACTGGTAATTGTTCAGTCCGTTATACACGAAGCATCAAAAGAAACTTATCACCAAATTCACAAAGTATCCAGAAAATGCCCATCTTTTTTATTACACGTGCACTGACATTGTATTGAACAGACATGTCACCGTTAATTTAATTATGCTGATTAACATTTGTCATCAACAGGACTGGTCAGGAGGAGCTCGGCTGTCTGAAAGTCACAGGCTAGTAGCATGTCGGTCACCACTGAAAGCGACACGAGCTGTACATCTGCATTGCATGCTTTGCAGATCTTGACTTGTGGGTTTCTGTCCCATTCCCCTCGTAGCATGTGCCTTCTAACTGTACTGTACGACTTCCCAGCTCTTCCCACACATGTTCACTTGGGAGTCAAACCTGGCAAGCAGAGCATCCACAGCATAACTGCTACACTGTCACCTGGCAAGACAGGCGCCGTTGCACAAGCAGCACGAGGACACGTGTTGTGCTGCTGGAATGTTGTCCTGTCGGAATGAGGCTGCATGGAGGACAGCACTTGATCAGTGTAGTGCCGTGCGATCAGGTTGCGATCAGTGAGGACAAGTGGATTTCTGTATCTGCTTGACACCTCACACTTGGACCTTCACTATTAATTGGCCTGTCGTGCACAGCAAGTAGTGTACCATTCCGCACCTGTGAGCTACCAGGGCTCTACGGAAAACGTGTCTCACTGCTCCACTGCTGACGAGTCCAGCTTCCGACATACCAAATGGCATGAAAGCATCGTTCTCTGGACAAGCGGTGGCCATCGGTTTCTTTTCTCGATTTTTCACCAGGCTGGACGTTGAGCAAGCTCGCCCACCCCGTTACCTGCGCCCGGTCGACTCCTACCAATTAAGTTAACGAATTGCTTGTGCAGTGCTCAAATGAGTACATCGAGGCTGGTTGTGAACGATTGACCGAAAACGTTGCCAAAAACGTTGCTTTGGATTTCTAAAATCCCACGTGTGAAAACGGTGACAAGTTTCTTTTGATGTTCAGTAATGCTTGTTTTCCATTGATCCAATCTTCTGGCACAGAAGAGGTTGAGGAATTCCGTGTTGTGATCTTTCTCTTGGGATGACCCCCTTACTTTGTCTTGGATTGGCAGGCTGGCTACGGCTATGGTCTGCCCATCTCCCGCTTGTATGCGAGATATTTCCAGGGAGACCTGAAACTCTATTCATTGGAGGGCTATGGCACCGATGCTGTAATATATATAAAGGTAAATTATCCGTGATACTAAAATCAATCTTTTGTTATATTTTCTATAAAAAGAGACTTCTCACTTGCTGTCTTGGTTTGTATTCATTCGGAATCTTGTACTGTGGACAACTTATTCTTTCTGCTGAAGACCTGTGCTGCATTAAAAAAAAAAAAAGAGTACCAAAGCTCAATTTGAAAAAAGGGTTTTTTTCAGTGAGGTTTTCTATTAATGTCTCTAAAAATGGTGGCTCCTGGGCCAAAATGAGAAGGACGGGGCACCAGTGGGAGACCAGCATCAAGCAAAACGATTTGTGCAAACCTGCTCCTCCTTGTTGCCTGGGCCTTGTCAGGTTGTGCCAAGAGGCGGGACGAGGAGCTGGCTGTGGAGAGATGGGCATTGCCATCTGTTCAAGATGATTGTGTTTTCTTTTTTTTTTGCCGCAGGCTTTATCGACGGACTCCATAGAAAGGCTCCCTGTCTACAACCGGTCAGCCTGGAGACATTACAAGACCATCCACGAAGCTGACGATTGGTGTGTGCCCAGTAAAGAACCGAAGGACATGACCACTTTCCGCAGCTCTTAGCCGTACAAGTCAGGACTGCAATCGGCTCGACAGACCAGGGTCCAGAAGGTAGGAGGGTGGCTGTAGCGAAGGGGTGAGGTTTTCTGTAGAGTTCAGTATTAAAAGCTAGAGGGAGGAAAATTACATTCTCTCTATATTTTCCACATAAAAATGTATTCCAAACTCCATTCTGTGCATTACTGTTCGTGCAACGATTGTTTCCACCAGTGGGTATTTCTCACAGACGATTGTTATTGAACTAAAAGATAAATACGGGGGGAACTGTCCTAAGTGGTAGCACAATATGTCGGGGTTTTTTGCTTTGTTTTTGAGAGGACATAAGTAAGGCTAAATGTAAGGCTTTCTTGGTGTGCTTTTGAAATTAATAAGTTGGAGATTGTAAACCATATTTTTTTCCTGTAACAAACAGTGTGGTGAGCCATGTTTTAACTAATATACCTCATCTGTTTTGGTATTAACATCACTGATAAGTATTGAATAATAGCAATAGTTTTGATATTAAAGATATAATCCTGAAGCAGTAACCATCTTGTAAAAAAAACAACAACAGATGGCTTCTCTGTGTGATACTTAATATAAAATTTTACAAGCACATTTTGTAAGCCTTGTCAATATGTGTGCCTAAGAGTTTAAATCCGTATTTGCCATTGTATGTACACCCATAGAAACAAAGCTTCAGTTAAAAATAAATGTGACTCTGGGCTGTCAAAATTCAACTGCTCTGGGCATTTGTATAGATAAAATGTTTCATTAAAACTGTTTTCATGGTACAAAAACGTTTTCCATCCCATTTTGGATTACTGTGTCCTCCAACATTTGTGAGCATGGGTGAAACTGGTTGTAGTCGATCTTTTGAGTGCATAATATTCCACATGTTTTTCATTAGCTAATTCACATTTTGAAGCAGTTTCTGTAACCTTGTGAAATCTGAAAAATGTGGTTCCCTTTTTACCTCATTATTATCCAATAAAGGCATTACCAAAATTCAATGGTGGATTCAGTCTTTTGGTATTATTTCACAAAAAGTACATTTTCATTTTCTAAGTTGTATTCTTATTGCATACCCTGTATGGAAATAACTTCTAATTGGTACTGTTGTTTTATTCACAACACAAAGGGAGTAGTACCTTTCCCATTAACACTTAAATTTTCTATATTCCAGTTGCTGAGGCAAATAACTAGAAGGAGGACAAAAATACATATTCTGTCTCGCCAGCGGCCTGTCTGACACCTTGTTTAGAAGGTTACAAGGATCTGCAGGATGAAAACTGATTTTCTTTCCCAGTGTAAATCAGCTCTTCATTGTGTAACCAGCAGCCATATTTTCCCTGCTGGGAAACCTCAGTTAAATAGAAACGAAACTCCCATTCCATTACTCCATAAAAGACTTTCGGAAGACGAAGTGACAGGAACGAGAATACAATAATGAAAAGAAGCCGGCTCGAGCCCTTCAACTGCAGCTGTAGCTAAAGTTTCCAAAAACCAAACCATACCATGCTTGACAAGAGAGGTTTATTTGTCCTGCTATCACCAATGATGAGAAAATCCAGGGGCAAAAGGGTGTCGGCCTTGAAATTCAAGTGTAAGAGCTGCATTCTTCAATTTAGTTCATTATTTAATCAAGTACTACACGGATATATACATTTAAAAAAATACAAACATCTGCTTGTGTTCACCTTTGCCAAGTATAGGTCATTTATCAGCAGTACTGAAGGAATATGTCTTTATCCAATAAGTGGAATGCAATAAGTAGACATTTCCTAACCTGCAATAGTATTAACACAAGCTCAGGTACTTGTTTTTCTGTTGAGAATATGGGGGTACCAAATGCAGAATAATGCAACTGAGACAGCAGTACCATTCTAACAACAACCCAGTTGTTAACAGAAAAGAATTGGACCACAAATACCTTCTATTACCACAATATTCGTATCTTTGTGTGACAAGCAAGAAAAAGCAGCACTGACTTGTAAACTTTAATTTTATTTTTTTGCAAAAGTGGTCCCATACGTTTTGGCTATTCTACTCAGTAGAAAAGGTACACTTAAGCGTTGAACCCTATTTCAACAGTAAGAAAATTGATTTTAAAAAAAATGTACGCAGTTTAACAGCCAAATATGTATAAAAACGCTCGGAATCTTTTATTTTTACATTTAAAACCTTGCCACCCCTTTTTGGAAGCTTAAAAGACAATATAGTGCTTTCGTCTCCTTTAACTGTACAAGTTCCTGTAAGAAAAGATCTGTACATAGCTGTTATCATTGGAAAAATACAATACAAAAATGCTTTTAAAAAGCCGAAGTCATTCCACAGTAACGTCAACATACACATGCTCATTATGTTCATACCACTCATGTCTGGCATACCTGTGATGAGAATGAGGTATTATTGCTATGTTATTCGTTCTAGTGGTACCAGTAAATGTGACGTACACTTTGGAGGGAAAAAAAAATGGTCCGTTGGCAGTGTACTCAAATTTGCCTGCCGTTTTATTTGGCGTGTGTATTAACCTCATTCTTGAGGAACTCTTCAAAAGTGACAGAGATACAATTTTTGTGATTGGGCGTGTGTACAAGTACTGTTTTCCATTTGCGACAGTTGCTATACTCGTACAGTAAGAGTGCCTGTTTAGGAAATCCCTTAAGTTCGAGATGTCGGGTTGCAGTGCTGATGATCACTCTTGCTGGCCTTAACAGGTAGTGGAGAGCTTGCACAGGGTACTTGTTTAAAGGCCTCTGGCTAGATTCTGCTGGACAGTGCTACAGTATGTGGTTATGAGGAGCCATTAAGGAATTGAGCAAGTATAGTATTGGAAGGCATTTTTTAAAAATAGGACAGCTGAAGGAACAAGCACTCTGCGCTGGAAGTAGACATGGATTATGAACAAAACCTGATGAGGACCCACAAAAAAAGTGCCAGATGTGCATGAGCAGTGTGACATGTACAGTACCTCATCTGAATAACTAGCTATGAGTGTCCAGGTAAGCTGGGACAGAAGAGTCAAGGGGCTTCGAAATCTCAGCAGGTGGAGTCTGCGTTCACGGGCAGCCTCCCACTGCGCCTGGCCTCCTTCTCCCTCTTCTCTCGCTGTTTCTCCAGCTTCTCCTGGGCCTTTTTCATCTCTTTCAGCTTCTTTTTAATTGTGGCTCGGTCATTTTGACTGGAAACGCCCAAGGCCTCAAAAGAGAAACACCAAACAAACAGGTTTGCGGTCTTTCACTGACATTGGGATTGAAGGCGTCCACCACAGCCCCGTCTTTCAGCCTGTTTTTTAATCAGCACTCCTACCCATCCCACACAAAATCGTGCTCCCAGTTCCATCCGAAATGATGATTAGTGATACACAAGGATCTCGCAAATTTATTGCTAGACTGTAGTGTGACCTACAACTGCAGCAGCGGAAATAGTTCAGAGCAAAACTCCCAGGGGCATTTACTTAATATTTCCAGTAGGTGGCACAGTTACAATAACGTCAGTAGATTGAAAGCATATTCTACTCTTTCACATAGGCGTCAGACAGTAAAATCTCTCTATGCATTTTAGTGATGTTTCCCCTTGAACATTTTGCTTCTAGTATTCAGTTATAATTGAGAATGTGCCAATAATTATTAGGCATGAATAGTCCAGAGAGATCCACGTTTCTCAGAAAAAAAAAACCTCTTACCTTCAGTCTGTCACTGTCTAGGAGGATCAGCTGCTGGCCATCCACAGCTTTGGCAGTGAACTCGTGGGTGTACTGCTCCATGTTCATGCCCATCAGCCAGTGGCAGACCTGTTGGGAGGTCCACTCAGAGATAGCCCTGTTCTGCCACTGGTAATCCTTCCCAACCAATACCGGGTCATCGTCCAGAGTCTGCCAGACAGCACCAGCGACAGCGTTAGACACATGGTCACAGCCCTTTTGGCCAGCAAACACCCCCACCTGAAGCAGTCGGAGGTTTGACTTTCAGATCTTTCTTTTTTTTTCTCCAAAAAATTAATCGCAGTTTGGTACTCAAACTTTATCCCTTTGAATTATTTAAACCCAAATCACAGAGGTACCAAGGTTCTGCTACAATTCCTGAATGGCTTAGCAAACCCAAGAAGAGTGTTTTATTTTTGCCCTGAAAGAACCAATCACCTGAACATTGTGGTGGTGTTACTGTATCTCGCAATCCCATCAACAGCTGTACCTTACATTGTTCATACAGTACATTGCTTGTTATTCTCTGCTATTAAAGGAGAGTATCCTCAGTATTCATTAAGTGAACAAAACATCCTGTCACATAAAAGACTAGCTAAATATTGACCTATTGTCAAAAACATTTTATGTAAAATTTGGGAGTCTGCCAATAAGAGGTTAAAAAGACATATTTAAACTAGCCTATTTTTCTCCTATAGCTGTGATAAATGAAGAGGGTATTCTAAAAAAATGTCATTTCATCCTAAAAATAGCAGAAACCACAGCTGAGGCATGTTAAAATTTGGAAAATCTACAAAGCATTTCTTCACTGAAAACTCCCTACATGCTCAGGTTCAAATTCAGAATCATTGTGGGAATAAAAATGTTGCTTCTCAAATCTTTACTCCCAACAGAGCACGGATTGTACTCAACTGATTGGCGAAAGGAATCTTGTTCAAATGTATCAAGAGGGGTTTAACGTGTAAGGCTTTGCATTTAATAGATACTACCCAAGAATAAAAATTCTAAATATTACTCATGTGAGGCAGTAAAGCAGATAGGAAAAAGGAATACACCAAATGAATATGTATGGTTATGTACATATTCACCACAGTGGATTATTCCTGCAGACTGAAATCGTTACATCTGTTGCAAACACGACCAATAAACAAGTTTTCCGTTTTAGGATTACCATACAGAGCTTAAAATAAATCACCTGCTACACATATGTTGCACGTATTTTTAGATATACTGTATATTTCTCTAATCTTCTTAATCTGTCAGTTTAAGGAGCAATATGCTATGTTATTTTCACATCTGTGCCAAGAAAACTGAAGTTGCAGAAGGACGGAAAAGAGCTGCATTGCGCAGCGAGCTCCTTGGAAGGCACGACTGAACACAGCTGCAGGTATTCGCAGAGCTGGCAAGAAATCCCTGCTGTAGCCCACACCATGTGCGGAAAATGACATCGCTGTCCACACTGAGCAAAAAGCAGGTCAGCTTGCGAGAGGAAAGACATGACAGCATTTCTTCCTACTGAACGGTCACCTCCTCTTGCCTTGCTAGAACACCGTGCCTTAGCGCTGGGCCTTTCCTGAAGGTGAAGGCCTGTTCCCAAGGGTAAGCGCTATGCGTTGGCAAGCCACTATGCGGAGACAGCACTGTTTCCCCATGGTTACCGCATGCACGTACAAACAAGCAGGAATTCCACAGGATTGAGAAACGGCAGGAATGAGGCTATAGGAGCAGCTATACTTCTTTACTGGGGGGGGGTGAGGTTTGGGTAAAATAGCCAAGGCACAATGAAAGCCAAGATCAAGACTCATCGCCCCAACAGAAGAGGGGAAGCAGACACAGTCACTAAACAACAGGACAGCAAAGGATTCTCTCAAAAGTGGGTGGCAGGGTGCAAAATCAGCCAATCGCACCTCTGTGGTCAAGGGCAAGGCTCATGCTTTGCAGATCTCCCAGGGGAAACACGTAGAAGCATGCCAAATCTCACTCTTGCGACCACCCGCAGGAACCTCTTTCATAAGCCTTGCGCCACTTCGTCTCTCTGTAGTTCCCACCCGTGCCTTTTGCCAATTCAACAGTGGCCTCCAGCATGCTGGGGCCATTTTCCGGTCTCTCGTGACCCTCTGCCCTGCCGCAGGTGTTTCTGGGGGTTCACAGCACGACGCGACACGCACGACCGACGGGCAGCACGCACTCCGTTGCCACTCACCTCATTCGAAGAGAAGGTTAAAGTACGTGAGCGCCCTGACAGATTTGGCTCAGCTACTAGCCCTGTCAACTCAGAACTGGGACTGCCAGGGTTTGAATCATCTATGACAGACAAACTCTGGAACAAGTGGAGACAAGGAATGCATTAACCGGACACAGACACTTGGCACAGGCTGTTTCTCTTCACTCTGGGGGAGGGGGGTGGAGGTGGCAGACAAAATTGACTAGGCAACAGTCAAAGTTGTGTTAATGTCGGTGCATCTTTCACCTGCATGTAAAGGGATGAACAAATGGCGACAATTCACACGGAAAACACACATCAGGGTAACAAAATGTCTGATCACTAGGCAGCCAAGCAAGCCTACAATACAGTTTCCACCTTTAACATTGCGAATAGATCATCTAATTGCCTGTATGTTTTTATTATAACCCTGAATGTGGTTTTTAAAGCTCATCTCTTGTGTACCTCCTTCGGTAGCCCAATCCTCACCCCTTAACTTTTCTGCTCACTGCAAATGTCTACTTACACTGACATTCCTCTCCAATTTACACTTCGATTAAATCACAGCTTTGACTTCCCCCGCCAAAAGACGGCTGATAGGTGGTGGCTATATTTTCCTTCGGGTAAGCAAAAGAATTAAACCGAAAGCCCCTATCGAGCAGCAGGTTGGGAATTTGTGACCAGTGGAAGTTTTCTCTAAGCCAGGTGTTAAGACTTCTATTACCAAACTGGAACACCATCTAGACAGGACAAGAGTTGCAAGACCTCGTTGCGGAGTAAAGATTAAACTGGGGAGCCCAGATATGTGCCTTTCTGACATTTAAAACCAAAAAGAAACCAGTTTTCACGGGCCTCATCATGTTCACTTTCATCAATTACACACACTAGTGGAAAAACAACAATCACAACTAGATTTCCACATCGGCCAGGGGAAAATTACACTTTTCTCCACAAGTCAAAAGCCATTCTCTCTACAGAAGCTATTGAAGGTGAATAAACCCAGCTTCCGCAGATAGCCTGTGAGGTGCAGTAAGTCAAGTTGCAAACAGTGTGTGTCGAATCCACACATTTGTACAAAACCATCTGGCTGAGGCTGGCTAGCTTTTCTAATGGCAATGTGGAGTTTATTATTTATTTCTAAAGAAAACAAGAATGAATGGCATACCACAGCTCAGATATTTTGACATGATAACTAAGCCGATGATGACGTCATTGTGCATCAATTAATGCTTGGTATACCGAATTAAAATCTCTGATACCTTACAGGCCTTAACAGTGGCTTCTTTTACAGAGATGACGCATTGCACAAGAGTTAGCGCCATAAATTTAAATAAGCAAATCAACAGATCTGGAAAAGGACCAAAATGTAATTCTTCGGAATAGGAATTCATTATAGGGAATATAGGTAAATTACATTTGCAGTTCATGGCCAGGGAAATTGTTAGAGCCAGGTGATTTGTAAATAATTACATGTGAAAATTATTAACATTTAGAAGTAGCATAAACTTGATAAATATTGCACAGGAAAGTGGTTACGAATAAATGAAAACCCAAGAGCTAGGAATATGACACAAAATCAAGTTTATGCCTCATTTTTCTACAGCAGACTAACACAAATAATATTTGGTGGTCTTTCTACAATGTTAGTTGTTAGATAATTAGACATTACTAGACTAATGTGTTTAGTTAGTTGTCTATTAGCTACGGTGCCTTTACGTCTTTAAAGTGTAGAGAGGAGAAAGGAAATTCATACTGTACCAAATCTAATGAACGACTGAATAAGGAAGACCAGGAAAGGTTTGTCTGTTCAAAAAGAGGATTATTAATGTAAAAATTAGTTCAAGAAGAGCTTTTCTCTTTAAAAGCAATTATATTACTGTTTATACTAAAAGTACAGTGTCTGGCACCAGATTATTAAGTAGTTGTAAGAACACTGAGGCACAAAATAGCCTTCATCTAGGCCTCAACACCCATGCATGCCTAGTGGATTAGTGTGATAGTACGACCAGATCTATTTCATATGGATAATACTCTGGATAACAAGCTGTTGAAAACTAAGTCAATGCGCCTTTTCCCTCTGAATAATGACAGGCCTCATACTGCTTCAGAGACAAACTGGGGTTCCCAGCTCATCAGTGTCACAGAACAAACTCTTTGGCATATTAATCTCCTGACATTAACTCCAATGTACTAAATTTAACGCACAGTCTCTTCTTTTTCCAATTTCTTTGGAGAGGCCCAACAAAACGCAAACCACACTACCAAACCTCATCTGTCGTCATGTCAACACTTTGCCTGAAACCACCTACACGAGTAAGAAGGCTGCTTACAACCTTCTGCCACTCACAACAACTTGTGTAATCTGTTCCTGCAAAGGCAGTCACTGCAATTCATTAAAACACTCCCTGTGGAGTAGCTGGTTTCTGATCCTCTACGGATACAATTATCCAAAAGAAAAAGAAAAGATGGCTGTGTAATTAACATCGTTCAAAACAAAATCTAATTTCAGGAACAAAAGGAAGAGGACACCCTTGACATGAAAAATGTAGGTCTAGGTGCAGTACTATTTTTATGTAACAGCAGAGAGAAACAAGTGTGTGAATGCTTTCAACACTCTTGATAATTTGAGCACTTTGTGTACTGGATTTATCTGCAACTGTCCTTTGTACAAACTACATCTTCTTTATAGTGAGAATACATGCTTAACATTTCTGAACACTGTAAAAAGCTAAGAGTGCACCAGAAGACAAAGGTCTGGCAAGATTTCTTTATAGTGGCATAACTGTTCCCCTTCCAACTCCTCCTGCATTTCACCTCTCCCCCTTTCAGTTGAGCTCAGTGCCCCCCGAGGCCAGGTGGGGACAAAGTGTCATAAAAATCATACATCTCCTCACCTGTAACATGTACCGTTAACATCTACCTGAAGGCCACGGCCTTTTGTGTCTGTGTTTTTCCCCCTTTCTCCGTTTGTCAGACAAACAAAACCAACCATCCCTCCCCTGTTATCAAATCTCCTCCTGGGACCTAGATACAGGGCCTCTCTGACAAAGATGGCTCTCAGGTACCTGACGTTAACAAGCCGAATAAAAAAAATTAACTTGCCGACATCTTATATGGATACAACATCTTCCCTATAAGAAAATTGTGGAAACCCTTTCCTATCCAGTTATGAAGAAGAAATCAAAATTGAAATGAATGATTGAGTAGGACTGCAAACAGGCTCTGAAATGGTGACTGTGGCCTCTTGCCTAACTATGACAGAACATTCCCACACTAAATGAGCATCCATTTTTTGTAGTTTTATATAAAAGTTGTATTTTCTTAAGTTTGCCTTTTTTAAAGCTTTTTTTTTCTGATCATTTTTTCCTTCCTGTTGATGGCAAGCTTGTGTCCCATTTTGGAGGACGCACATCTGCACACCTAAACCTTGCTGTCACCCCAGCAATGGGTCCTGAAGAAACCAAGATGGTGGTTTTTTCCCCCCACATTTCAATTACTGAACCCTCACATGAAGTGATAAACACACTCCAATTCCATTCCTGCCTTAGTAAGGGAGACAAAAAATTATCATGAAAATAATGTGTTTGAAGAGAAAAGCAAAAAAGTACGGGGGGCTTATGTGAAATGAAATTCTTGAATGTCAACTAATCAGAGTTGTGTTGCTGTCCTCTCCTAAAACTCTGCTCCGCTCCTATAATCTCTGGGAGTTGCACCAGCCTTTACCTTATTCCTGCTCTTGTCCTGGCTGTGCTCGGAGGAGCTCTCAGGAGCAGTGTAGTGGAGACTGCTGCTGGACGATGAGGGCTCTCTGTCCCTGTCTCTGTCCCTGTCCTTGTCTCTGTCCCCAAACCAAGAGAAAGGCATGCAGGTGGGGATGGATGACATGGACTCTGAAGGAGACAGGTTTCCAGCAGAGTCTCCCAGTAAATCTCCAGACCCCCTGGGATAAAACAGAAAAACCGAGATACAGTTCTAGAAATGCCCAGCAGCCAGGTGCCTCAAACAGCAAGACTGGTGGCACGAGAATGACGTCTGCAGGCTGGAATTATCCTTCACGGCAAAGACAGCTACCGGCCACTGTTCTGCAACTTTGGAAAAAAAATAAATAACTGGCCTTATTTAAGCTCGAAGGTTTTTAACCTTTTCAGACAGCATGACCACTTTTCAAGTAAACCCTCTCAAGAAGAGACCCCACGCGGGCTAGAAATATTACAGATCCTTACTATAAGGTAAAAAAGTAAAGTCCACACCAGAGATGCAGCTGCTCATTGGGCCCGAGCCCATCCTGGTTTCTGTAGGCTGAAGCAGACTACAGAGCACATGGCTCCCCCTGGATGGGACACAGGTCCATCACAGGAATTACCCCCAGCAACACTGGTAAGCACTTGTACCCCCTGGGGGGACTGGAGCAGCTGGGGTAAAGTACCTCACTCCAGGTATAACAGCTATGTCCGAGGCTCGAACCCACGACCTGTCAGTCATGAGTCCAAAGGCTCACCCACTACGCTATACCACCCCCAGTCTTATTGTTTATTGCAAAATATGAGCAACTGGGTTGCATATCAGCAGACCCACTGTTTAAGGGTGTCAGTTTCAAACCACTGTGTGCTATAAAGGCCAGCAGACTAATTCCAGCCCTACACTGACATGACTCTGCCAGCTCTGCTCAGGGAATTTTGGTCACAGTCGGCTAGTAACATGACCCATGACCAATCAGCCACTCCCCCAGAAATATTCTGATGCTCCCACCACTCTCAGAATGATCAAATCCAACAACAACAAAAAAAAGGGTAACAGCTAACATAGAGGCTCGTTCCAAAAAAGATTTGCCTTGCCTCTGAGGCTGCTTGGAATTCGTTTTCTCAAAGCAGCTCTTACGAACCCAAGTCACAGTCAGGATTTTGCTAGGCTGCTCCCACAGAAAGGACTAGTCAGGCGACCGCGAGGGTACTGACAGTTAGAGTCCTTACCTGCTGTCCAGGGAGCCTCTCAACGCCTCCTTGTCGTGTTTCTTCCCTTTGCCACCAGACTTCCGAAGGCCGCTGTTGGTACATAAAGAGTGCAGAGTAAGCCACGGCTGGATTAGACCCTGCTGCAGGACAGCGGACAGCAGAGTCGGGCTTTGCAATGAACGAAACCAAGATCAATCCACAAGAAAGTCAGACATGAGAGTGGATGATGAGCATGATTAGAGCCATCACCCGCCAAAAAGGACTGATCAGTGGAATAACGGGGATGATCCACAAAAAACTGGTCCGGGAAGCTAATCAGCCTATACCCTGCCTTCTTTCTAGATCCTCAGACAAATGAGCTACTAACCTATCAAATAGGCTAACGATCCACAAAGCTGGTGTGATTCCAATAGTTTTAAACTGGATGCAATGGATTATACCTGTCTGATAATGTCGGTTTCTTACATGGCCTCTTGTTTCTCTTGTGGCCTTAAACAGAAACATGTACAAGCCACCAGAAATCACCTACCCAAAGTCGGGAAATCTTCTTTTCTGCTTCCCTGATGAGGAATTGTCATTTGCTTCTGCCTTGTCATCTGCGAGAAGAATCGGTTATGTGGAGGAGGCTATTCAATTTCTGTTTTTCCTGCTTATCATTCAGGTGTTGCGAAGACTGACCGCATCACACAGGCAAAATGCCAGAGTCACGAGCGCAGTGTTTCTTCACACTTCAAGAATTCCTCTCTGACAAACTCAGAAGTTAAAAAGTGGCCTTCTTTTAAAAAACGAGGGCGAAATGAGGCCAATAGGTAAAAAACTCTTCCGTAAAATATTTCAAAGGGGGGGGGTCTGCCCTCAGGAAGGCCCATTCTGTGATTTTAAGAGTAAATAAAATTACAGCGAATTATAACAAAAAAAACAGTACAGCGAATGGCCTGTTTTTGGAAAGGGGGCAGGGACAGAGGCCCCAGGCCAGCGCCACTCTCCTGACTGAATGTCTATAAACCGTTTGGAGGACAGGCCTCAGTGTTCCCGCCTCTCCACCTTCAGAACGGAAGGGGAACAGCCCGTCTCGCGCTTACCTTTGGGCTCCTTGCCCTTGCTCTTCCTGACGGCCCGGAGGAAGCCCGTGGGGGAGTGGGCGGTGTTGGCGTCTTTCGACGGGGACAATCCTGGACTGCTACCGCTCTCGCTGCTGATTCTGTGGACGGGAGAGGACGGGGCCGGGGGAGGGGGGGCGCTGGACAGCTCCACCTGGCTCTTTGTGCTTCTTGCCGTCTCCGCCTTTTCGCCCTTGGGTCCCTCTCCCGAACACAAGACGGCCAGGGGCAGCGATAAGCTCGGCTCAACGGCCTTCTCTTCATTTCCAGCCCCCCGAGACTCCGGCGGCTGTACCTCGCTGTCGTCACTCTCCTGTGCAGCAACAGAATGACATTCCTGCTGAAACTGGGCCACTGCTAATGGCTTCCACAGCCGACTCAAACCATCTCCAACTGACGCGGTAACAGGCAGGCCAAGGCAAAGACAAGTGGGTCAGAAAAGGCCTCTCGCCTCTGAAAGAAGAAGTAAAAGACAGACCTGCTCCAGACAGGGGGCAGCTCCCAGGGTTTCTCGCAGCTTGTTTCGCGACGGCGGCTGCCGTTTGGCCTTGAGGGCCAGCTGACCCTTCGCCCGGTGGGCGCTGGTGTCCAGCCTCTCCGTCTCGGGAACAACCTCATCCAGGGCTTTGTGGACTGCTGGGACAAACGACATCGCCGGACTGCTATCACATTTCCATCGGTTTGCTTCACGATGAACTGAAACCCCCACATTTTACTGCAGTAATGCGCCAGGAAAAAAGAGGCCAAAGTCATGCCTGTAAAAAGCTGGGAAACATTAGCTGATTATACCGTTTAACCAATGTATTCAATATTCTAAGGCAAGCCATGATGAGAATATTTGTGGTAGCGGTTAAAATATAAATGTGTATATTTTATTTCTCATCACATATGTATGTACAGTATGTCTATTATTGGTTCATGGGTTCACGTTGTGTTAAATGTATTATGTTATGTCTTTTACCTGCCTGCAAAGCGAATTTCCTATCTGGGATAATAAAGTAACTTTTGGATTCCCTCATAACATTTGGATAAACTCTTTCCTTGGATCCCGATCACTCACGGTAGAATTTTACAAGTTTCTGCAACAAGGCCGTCATTAACTATATTCTTTTTTGAAAGAAAAATAAATTAAATCTGTATTGAAGGCAAGTCAACGAAAAAAAAATAATCACAGGAGGTGATACAAAACGTGTGTTAAGTTTCATTGCCAGACAGCAGTGTTTCAAGATTTCCTGTATCCCAGTAGATTCTCTACATCTGTGAGATTCGCATCAAAAGAATTATCTTCTGCCAGATGTCTTTCACATAAATACAGCTAATGGTGTGCGTCCCATCCAGATCCGCACAGTGAGGTGAGATGGACTAAAGCATGCCTGTGATTACACGAATGAGGCTGGAGCCGAAGGAGAAGGGTTTGAAATAGGAAATACATTCAGTGTTACTGCAGACTTCCATTTCAATAACTGTTGTGCTTAATATCGACAAATCCCATAAGAACTCAGCTACAATATTGTAAATATTGTGTTCTGTAGGCCGGTATTGCCATACACCATAGCCAGACAAAAGACTAAGAAAATAAAACATTAACCTAGAACAACACTAACTACTAAACTCACTGACACTACATAATCTGTCAAACCTATCAGAGACGTGACGATTTTACTGGTTAATGGCGAGGCGGTGGCACTTGTCCTCTAGCTAACTGCCCGGCTGCCCCCTTTCCCAGTAGCTGTGCTGGCAGAAAATAGCGCCCTCATTGCCCCAGTGTCCTGGGAAAACACGACATGCTCTAAGGTGCCCGGAGAAGGACCCTGGGTTGGTGCGTACGCTGAAGTAACGTGTCCAGTGACTCAGGTGTCCTCAGCGCGTCCCCCGACTCTCTGGTAGAGAGCCCTTCCTCCCTCGGGCCTGCGTCATGGTGCTTGTCCTCGGCGCTCCCTGTGGACCCTCCGCGCGGCTTCTCCTCCCCAGGGACAGAGGAACTGGATGGGGCTGCCGAGTGCTCACCAGGGTGGGCTCTGGCCTCCAGTGCCTCTATCTGAAGAGATTGAGGAACGCCATCACTCTCGGAGTTCAACTGGATTATTCCGGACAGTAGCACAGGGAGTCTCCGTTTAGCGTCAGGATTAGAAAATTGTGACGCTAATCAAAATGGCACTAATCAGGGAATCTCCTCCTGTTAAAACTAATGAGGAGGTGAGGATAGGGAAAAGGGAATCATCTTCCAATAGGGTATAAAGGAATACAGTTAGGTTTTGTTCCTGAATTTAAGCAAGTATGATATTAAACAAACATGAAATTGTTTGAATTTTAATAACAATTGAAATTGTGCTTGCATAGCATAGAGATACCATAAAAAACATGTAATAAATGTCATTTAAAACAATGACAAACACTGATCAATGATGTTTGCAAATTAAACGTATAAGGAAGGAAATTGTTGCTAAAACAATTATACTGATATTAACTTTATATTCATCTTTCTATTTCTCTTTATCACATCTAATTTATATATCAGTACCCATACTGAGACGCTTCTTTTTTGCCTTCAAGACCAGGTCTCTTACTTGTGCGTCTCCTTCCACTTCTGATTTCAAGGATTGCTACGATATTTGGAGACTGCAAAACTCAAGCTCAGAGCGAGAAAGCCGACGTCCGAACCCAGAAAAGGCCCTTTGAATGCTTGGCGGCATTGTGCCGGTTTTGTTCTGCACAAAAATTCAAATTAACCCACCATCGTTCTGGGGGAAAACTACGGTATGTACCGTAAACGGCATTAGTCGGCGGACTTTTAACGTCCTGCACCTCAATTTATCGACTAGCCCTGCCAGTGTACCCAAGGTTCCTGGGTCTGCCCCGCAAACAGACAAACTGCAAGGGGTTCCCAACTCTCATGTAGGTTATATATTTTTCTTATTGCTTGTTTTACATTCCGAGTGCTTGTCCTGTTCTTTTATATGTAATGATTTCTTGTCCTGTAACAGATGTTGTTTTGCTTGACTTTTTGCCTGTAGCTCTTTGAGGGGCTGTCCTGCTTTATTGCTCATTTATGGGTGTTGGTCTTGTCCTTTGATATGTACTGTAAGTTGCTGGAGCTCCTGAAGCAACGCAGTTTTATTCTGCCTTAACATAACGTCTAGCGGAGGTTAAATGAACAGATCCCAACAATCCCTTCCACAATGTGGTTTATTATTATTTTGTAATGCTGGATATGTGCAATATTTTCACGTGCTACTTCAACATTGAATGAGGAGACTAACAAGCATATTAGCACTGATGTCAGTTTACCCTGTCCTGCAGTCTCTGCAGCTGTGTCTGGTACTCCTGCTCTTTGTCTTCCAGAGCTCTCTTCAGGTCCTCTTCCTTTTTAACAAAGTCTATCTCCCTGGGGTCCGAGACAGACAAGACACAAAGGAAATTGAGCAAATAATTTCAAACAACAGAAACAGTTCACCACTTTCAACGAGCACACCTAAATTTTCTAAAAAAGACCACCTAAAATGCGGCAAAAAGAGAAACATATATCAAAGATAAACAGTTCTGTCAGTGGTTTTCAGTCGATTCAAATAAGCACAGAGCATGAGGTCAACTGAAATGACAGCTCAAGAACAAAGACCTGCTCCACTGCAGCTGCAGTTTTAATATTCTAGCACAGGTTGTAAGAAGATCACTTTATCGGCCAAATACAATTTCTTGTACTAGGAATTTGTCTTTTCTTATACCCCAACGTGCTCTCCATGAGAGACACAGACAGGGAGAGAAGCTTGGGTTCAGAGCGCAGGGTCAGCCATTTATACGGCACCCCGGGAGCAGTTGGGGTTAAGGGCCTTGCTCAGGGGCCCAACGGAGGAGGATTCCTCTGCCGGCTGCAGGATACGAACCGGCAACCTTCCAGCCACAGGCGCAGATCCTTAGCCACAGAGCCACCACACTGTTAACACGTCTTTGCAGCATAACAAGAGACGGCATGTCCTGATCTTCGATCTGCTTTTTCTAAACATCTATTTCAACAGTCCAATACAGGCTTCAGACATCATTTTTAAAAATGAGGCTGTTTGTAGATAAAAAAAAAAAGTGAATATGCTATTGCTATTGAAAACCCCCAAGCTCGCACAAGTTTGGGAGATGTTAAATATTGGAATTTAGGGATCATCGGAGAGGAATATTCATTTAAGCTTTAGCCACATATAAACTTTAAGCACATCTAGACACAACACTAGTCACTCACTTCTGCTGATAGTCCTTGAGCAGTTTCTTGGCCTTGTTGTATTTCTTTTCCAGAGCATCGTACTGGCTCTGGGTTTCCTTCAGGTGCTCATTGACAGTTTTGCAGAGGGTCTGTGCTTCCAGCCAATACGTCTCAATCTTCTTGATTTTCTCCTTATTTTCTTCAATGCTTTGCTGCAGCTGAGCTTGCCTTGCTTCCCACACGGCTCTGTCCTCCTCGGCTGTTCTTAGCTTGAATAGTACATGTGCAAAAATGTAAAAAAAATAACACAGAACTCAAGATGCTCTGCTTCAAGAGCAACCAGGCAGTTGTTCTTCAATGTACAGGTGACAATGCATCATATTATGACAAATCTAATAAAACACAGTTATTTAGAGTGTCACTTTTCTCTACAGTGACGTGCATGTGTTCTTATTTATACAGGTGAGCTAAGAGCCTTGCTCAACTGTACAACAGCAGTCTCTCATCTGGGACCTGAACCCACAACCTTCCAGTTAAGAAATCCAGAGCCCTAACAATGACTCCACACCGCTACCTATAGCCACAAGCAAAACACACACAGCTCTTTGACAAAGGCCGAATATAAACATCTGACAATTTCAGTGACGATCTGAAAGTCTGACGTACCTTCTCCTTTGTCTGCTTGAGCTCAGCTGATGTAACTCCATGCTTTAACTGCAACTGCTCACACAGGCATACAGCAGATAAGGGAATGAGAACAAAAATAAACAGTGCTTTTTAAAAAAGAGTATTTCAAAGTAATGTGCCGCTGATCAGGTAAGTTATGAGATACACGTCCAGGAAATGAGAAAGCATCTCAATGGGAGCCTTTCATTTGTGATGTTTATGCCAGTTATTTGCATAGTCTCTGAAAGGAAAATGAACAAACCTGAATATCTGCTCTTAATCTAAGGACCTTTCAACAATAAAGCACTACAAACAATGCCCATCAAGGGCACATTACATTGCATTACAGTACCAATTATGTGAGGCTGAATCCCAGTAAGTCTGATTAAGACAAGTAGCACATGTAGTGGACTCAAAGATTATTGGCACTCTTAATAAAGCAGAACAAAAAAGGTGTATAAAATAAACAGCACAGATAATGATCTATACTACAGGCTTGTATTCCAATACAAATATTTTAAATTGCAATGTTTTAGAAAGAGCAATACTATTTGTTTCTCAAAAACATAGGTGTTAAAATGATTGGATACTGTGATTTTTTTAAAGAAATCAAATAAAATTCCCGTTTCACTAGAGCATAAAAAACAGAGGTAACACAGACGGGAAAACGTTTGTCATCCATCTCCATGGGGAAAGGCATGGAATTGACAGATCAAAACGGGCAAATGGTTGTTGATCTTCACAAATCACAAATCTCCACATGATGGATACAGAAAGTGCATCTTGTGCCCAGGCTCAGTGAGGAACATGGGCAGGGAGGCAAAAAAGAATCCGAAGGTCACAATTGGAGAACTGCAGTGTCGCACTGAATCTTGGGGTCTTCAAGTCTCCAAATCAACAATTAAAAGGTTCATCTAGGCCAACAAGGCTGTATGGAAGGGTTGCCAGAAGAAATCCCTTACTAACAACAAGAGCATCGCAATGGAAGTGCCTGGAGTTTGACAGACGCCACTGGGACTTTGATTGGATCCAGGCACTATGGTCAGATGAGGCCAAAATGGAACTCTTTGGCCACTCACACCATCAGGAAGCTTGGGGTTAGAAGAGGGATGTGTACAAAGAAAAGAACCTCACACCCACTGTGAAATATGGGGGATCGTTGATGTTGTGGGACTATTTTGCTGCCCGTGGCCCTTGTTAAGATCAGTGGGCATCATGAACTCTACTACGTATCAGGGTATTCTGGCCAAAAACCTGGTTGTCTCTGCCAGAAAGATGTGACCAAGTTGCAGGTGAGCCTTCCAGCATGACGATGATCCTAAGCACACCTCAAAATCAACAGGGAAATGGATTGAAACATTGACATTTTGCAATGGCCAACTCAGTCTCTGGACTTTAACCCCATTGAAAACCTGTGGTCTGAACTGAAGAAGGCAGTCAATAAAGGTCATCAAGGATTAGGAACATTTCTGCATAGATGATGGTCCAAGATCCCTCCCAATGTGTTCTCCAATCTTATTAAAACATTACAGGAAAAGGCTTTGTGCTGTTATCCATGCCAGAGGTTACAACAAGTACTAGAAACAGAGGAGCCAATACTTTTGACACCTATGTTTTTGAGAAAAAAAAATACTATTAGCCATTTGAAAACATTTGTTTTGAAATAACTGTTTCAGAATAAAAGCCTGTAGTTTTTCCATTTTGGGAGTCATTCACTATATAGCTCATTCTCTGTGCTGTTTATTTTATACAATCTTTTTTTGTTCATCTTTACCAAGGGTGCCCATAATTCTTGAGCCCCCTGTACACTGAAATCCCTCACTGGGGAAAGAGTCAGCCAGGGGATATTTAAAATACCTCTTTGTATTTCAAACTCAGCTGCGTGGAGTCCATGTTAGAAGGCAAAAACATCTCTTCGCTCTCAGGAAGTTCAAAGACTTCAACTGACTTCCCTGCAAAGCTCGATCCCAGTACCTCCTCCTCCTCTCCCTCCTCCTCGTCGTAATGCTCTTCCTAAACAGTCATTTCAAGTGACAGCAAATGAGCACAAGCCAGGCCACAAAAACAATGACACAGAGCACATTCCGTTGCTGGATAACATGTAGCATTTGTCATGTTTAAACACGCCATTAACATCATCCCAAGAGTTCATTGATGAGCGTACAAAAGCCAATCTTACATTAAATGCACACAGAAACAGCACAGGTCAATGCAAATGTTTATTCAAACATGCCTGACCCGATGAGAAATGAGTACAGATTTATCAGGGATGCCAAACAAGCATGCCTTGTGCACTGAACTTAGCAGTGCCTCTTTAAAGATGCACACTTACTTTTTTCAGGATTTTTTCCATTAGATAGAGGTTTGAGTTTCCAAATCGACAAACCCACATGACCCAGTTTAAAGTTGCAAATCTTGCATTGGATTTTTTATTTTATTTTGAGAAAGCTTCAAGTTTCCAAATTGACAAAGTAATGTGACCCAGTTAAAAAATAACTGCAATATTAAAGAAATTAAGGTCAGATTCACCTGAGCTTAGCAGTTTTTTGCATGTCCCCTGTACAGAATGTACAGTCACACTCTGCATCCCACGCCGTATATAGTGTACAAACCCCTCAAGGTGGTTCTTTTTACAAGACTCAAAATGAAGGATACTATAGATGGTGCAGCTTTTTTTGTATAACAAAGACACTAATGTACAGTCATTTGTGAATAGCGATGAAAATACATGCACAGCACCATTCTTCACAAAACATATTTAAAATAGAAGCAGTGGTTTGCCTGAAGCTTGCTGATACAAACATTCACACACTCAGTCATCAAGTAAAGGGTCGGACATCAGCTTCTGCTGTACTGTAGTGACCAAGACGTCATCCGCATAACAGTTTGTTTTCCCGGATTCTTTGATTTTTATTCCAAGCAGCTAAATTACAGCAACGTCCCAGGAAGTCTAGACTAAATGGAAGTCACTTCACAGCTGCAGGCCAGACAAATGCTGGTTGAGTCCGGCCTGCTGGTGACTCACCTCCTCTGTGGACAGGTCATACTGGTCTTCCAGTCGCTGCTGCTGTTTCTTTTCTTGCTCGAGAGTCTCACTGATGAGCCGCGCCACTTCGCTCTGGGTTCCAGGCTTCTCTCGCCCAATCAGGAAACTGCACGAAACGACAGCGCCGCTCATCACAGGAAGTAGTAAAGGCAACCCGAGGAAAAAAATTGGTTTTTCCAGTCTCTGCTGTCCCCCACATGTACTGTTCCCAGCACGCTCAGTCTTTCAATATTTACCTCAGCACTTTAAACAAAGTTTGCTTCATGCCTGACAGGAAGTGAGGTCAGAAAACCAAATAGCGCTGGCTGGCCAGCCTCTCCTGACTGTGAGCTGTCTCATTTGCCTGAGGTAAATCATTAACACATCTCCCAGGATTTGGCATGACCTTTTCTCTCTTTTAATCTTGATGTGCCAGGTGACCCTTCCCTCATTTGCAAACTCGCTTCTGTGTTTACAAAGACAAAAGCCTCAAGCCTTGCTACCACTGATCCTAAATTTATTTCTGTCCGAATCCGAAGAGTTCTGAATGGTGTGAATTATCACCATGCCCTCTCTAATCTGTCAGAATTTCTGTTACGCCCATTTTCCTGAAAAACAAGCACCGAGCAGAGGAGCCAATGTTCAAAAAGCGGACTTACTTGACAGTGCCTTTAGTGTTTTTCAGTACTGTAGCAGCGAACAGCTGTGTGACGCCAACCAGACTAATTCCATCCACCTCCACTATCTGATCATTGACCTGGATCCTAGATGAATGCAAACATTGAAAGAACAAACAGGGTTGTCATGCAAATACAAATCATCCCCACTCAAGAGTGGGAAGAGGACTTGAATAGGATGAGCAGAGGAGAGAGGAACCAGTAAACACTAAACATGAGTGGGGGGAGAAAAAAAAAACACCTGAAATATATCTCAGCCCTTCCTGGTAAGGGCACTGACGACTTAATACACCAAACCAGAACATTTTCAGTGGAAAAAAACTAAGCCAGTGCCTTTAGAGAAATGGGTATTTCTGATCCTATCAGTGCTGAGTTAATTGTAATCCGAGGAAAAAAGGAAGACAGCCAGCGGTGCTTATTTAAGGGAATTATTAAAGGAATGCTCATGGCGGTGGAGGAAGATTAAAAGAATGGGACACATGAACAGTCTGTAAATTTGCAGGCAACATTATCTTTTAAAGAAGATAAGGCACACTGTCCACCAGAACACAGTGGGAGTCTCCAAAAATTAAAGAATAATCTCATGTCTACTGTCATAAGTACAGGAGGGAAAAAATGGGAAAGTTTATTTTTGCTGTGCGTTAACCTTCAACTGAGCAAAGCCACACACTGTGGTTATGGCCACTTTCGGCAATATCTTGGCACTTAAAAGCAAGCACCTCAGCGCAGAAAGTCTCCATGGCTGGAAGGCCTAATTTCCCCCAGAGGTCAGCACCAGAGGTCTTTTCTGTGTAACTGTTCTGTAACTGAGGCCCATATACTGTCAGTGGTTTAGAAATGGTATCACCAGTCCATTAGTCCAGATTCTGACATCAGATAAGACTTGGGGAAATCATACGGAAAAAAACCACAGAGGACAATCTATCCCCAACAATATAAATTCTTTGAAGAATATTCAGTGTTTTGGCTAAGATTTTGAGAGCGAACGGCTCAAATGCACACTGCACCGAAGAAAGTTTTTAAAATGGAGCTTTTAGGTGTCAAATGGAAAACCCAACAGAAAACTTGGCTCAGTCAACTCCCTTGGATGCTGATGCTGTCTGCGGCTTTTTCAAACTATCGCTGGTCAGGTTTCAGTTTTGAGGGGTTCACAAACATGGAGCATCTCTGTCAGTCGAGCAAGTTGCCACTGAGGGACGTCGGTGTTAACACTCTGATGCTTCACTTCGGCCTTGCGTTGCTGAGCAGCGAGAGCAGGAAGCCCAGAAGGTTGCCAAGACAACGCAAAACCGTAGGAAAAGTACTGGCAGCGTTACACTTGACTTGAAACAGAGGCTTTAAGATATTTGACCTTTAAAGGAACAAGGAATATGTTTTCTGCTTGAGGAACTTGTGCTCCCTCTATGTATAAGTGTGAAAAATGTACAGCACCAAATATTTCTTACCGTCCGTCTCTTTCTGCTGCCCCATTCTCACTAATGGTCTTCACAAATATACCAAGCTTCTCCAAGCCTTGGTCAGCCCCTACTCCCATTCCAATGATGCTGATTCCCAATCCGTTATCTCCTGTGTTTGGAGAAAAGAGTCACGTGAGCTCGCGCATCCTTGCGCTAGGCGCGAGGTTTCGGAAGGGACGCGCAGAAAGGGAACGTTACCCTTTTCGATCTGCACGGGGAAGACGTCCATCTTCTCCACCCGCTTCTCCAGCTCGTACTCCGCCGACGCCGCCACAGGGTCCACCTCATCGTTGCGCCGGTCGTACTCCTCGTTGGAGTAGGTACTGAAAACCTGCGGCACAATCGCAGACTCAGCGTTCGGCGTCCTACTGCGGACTGTGCCAGCAGCAAGCGTCCCGCAGGTAAACGCATCTGGCCCCCCCAGCGAGGAAAGTTCTAGAAAAACACCAGACTAATCCCCTTTGCATCGGTTTACACTGTGATGAGTTTTATAAAGCCTACGCACCACTACCAGAAACGAAAAACTAATCACCACTAGACCACTTAAATGAGTCTTATCACATAATTCAGAGCAAAGACAGGAGTACATGATGATTTCACAAAAAACAATTACGCAAGATCTGCTCTGTACAAAATCATCAAAGTTCCGAGGTCTGGAAATCTTGAGGTTACCCTCAACCCCATGTTGATTTGCACAGTTTTAAACTTCATCTGCTGATATTCACTACAGCCAAACAACACCGACTAAACCCAGGGATCTAACCTGCACTTTCCAGTCCCTGACCCACTGGAACATGTATCCCTGAGCAACGAATGTGCTGCTCGCTAGACTGCCTTTCTCATTTAGAGAGATCATATACCCCGATTCCGCCAGGACAGTCCCATATATAAGGCCTGTCCCAGATGTCCTATTGTTTTTCAAAAGGACTTTTCATCCCCCACTCCCCTAAAGGGGAAACAGCCAGGTGACCTGTTTTCACCCTGGGAAATTATGTTCACCCTCTTCAAGAGACACACTGTGCCATTGTGGAAAACTCAGCCTTCGCCTGCTTTGAAATGTTTTGAATTATCGCAACTGCTGCTGCAAGACCTACACCAAAGTAAAGCCTCCCCCAGTTCAATTTGCTCTCCTCCTGCTGAATGGGAGCCAGCTCCAGAAAACCAATGCACTGCTTATCCTGAACTGACTATGGCAGGCCTCCATTAAAACACCCTCCAATGAAAGCCGGCTACAGCTAAGGGGAGATTTTGTGTTACACAGATCGATGCAGCAAAGTTTTCCTCCTGGCTTCCCAAGCAAAAAGGAGCGAAGCAAAGAGTCAGCCTTCCAGTCAACCTACGCTTGGCTCTGCTTTAGTTGGGATTACTTGGAATGTTTCAGGAGCTTAGGAAATGTGTCATACTCCAGAAAGTTGAAATGCTTGACTAATCTGTTTCTAAGCATGGACATCTGTTTGCCAATAATCCTCATCCTAAACATAACAAAAACTCCCCAGGAATTAATGCGGGTTTAAAGGTTGTTTTTTTTTTCTATAACAGCAGAGTCCAGGGCTGGGCCTGGAGGGCCGGTGTGTCTGCAGGTTTTCTTGGTCTTTTTAAAGCAGCAGCACCTACAGAGCTGGGAGACGCTGTCACACTGCTCCAGTGAAGCCAGGCACCAGCTGGTGTGGCTCTTTAAGAGTTTTTTTTTTTATTTTCCAAGTACGTTCTGCCCTTCCTCCTTAGTAAGTCAGGAGTCATACAGGCACGCTGAACATCTTCCGAACGTGCCAGCTTTTCAGCTAGAGCAAGACCTTTCTGTATTTCGAAAGCTCGCGGGAAAGGTTCCAGTTCACTGACGAAAAAACCCAACATGATCGTAGCGGGAGCTATATGGAATTCACACGGTTACGCCTTTAGACTAACACTTGCCAAACGATCCAATGAACCTTAAATGCGCGTACAGAATAGTTTTTTCAAAAGATGAATTATGAAGTCAAGCCCGCCGAGCTCCTCAAGCGGATTCTGAAAACTGAGAGATTGCACCGAAACTAGACCCCTCTTTGCAGTGCCGCCATAGATAACTTAGCTGGTGGGAACCCAAGATCAGAAATTCACACTCTAGTGCCTCCTTCCCGTCGCTGGAGGTCCACAAGGAAACCCTGTAGGCTCATTTCTGGATTCCACTGATTACAATGCTGTCGCTTTGACTTCCATCCATCCAGTTTCTAGCTGCTTTGTCCAATTCAGGGTCGCGGGGTGAGCTGGAGCCCATCCTGGCAGGCAACAAGCACAAGCCAGGGCCCACCCTGGACGGGACTCCAGTTCATCGCAGGGGCACACACCGATACGAACGCGGACATGCACCGAGCCCCAACAGGCTCCCGGAATTTTCCCAGGAGCCAATTAACCTACCAGTATATCTTGGTAGGACTGGAGGAGGAAACTGGAGCACCCGGAGGAAACCCACACAAACCGTGGGGGAGAACATGCAGACTCCACACAGACAGCACTGCAGGAATTGACTCCCGGACCCCAGAGCTGTGAGGCAGCAGGTCTAAGCATTGTGCCACCGTGCTGTCCATCACTCTGCCGTACAGAAAAAAATTCCCTGTGTGCACTTAACCACGCAGAGCGCACACACCTAGGCTTATTCCCATGTTGCTTGTGGTGCCCCCTGGTGGCCAAACCCAACTGATGGGGATTAGTTCAGCAATTATATAGGCTTACAAATGAAAGAATGCCACTTGATGAGAAGACATTATTTAGTTGCTAGTGGTTACCTGACAGGGATCTCCCACACTAGACACTATTTTTACTTAATACAGAGCTATTTATAGAGTTCATAGTGTTGGTTTGCTACCTGTAGAATAGCACAAGAGTAATTCTTCAGAATTATGAGCAGTAGACTGAAGGAATTAACTTTACAGTTCCATTTACAATTTTAAACAATAATGACACAGGTTCATTGGATTTTTAGACCCGACTGCTTATTTGAATAGACCCCACTATAACCAGCGGGAACTGCTGAAATCTCCCGTTAAATATCCTTGGTCGCAGCTTCTTCACTTCACTGCGCTGCGCTGACTTTTTCAGGCGTGTAAGCCGAAGGTTGCAAACGCACAGCAACTAACCCCAAACTTGCACTGATCAGAAATGAATAATTAGCACTGCAGTCAAACTGCACGCCAAAGCACAGTGTGAGCAACCTGTTAAAGCGCCTTGGCTAGAAGACACTTCAGAAATAAAAACATAAATAGGTTCGCTCGTTCTCCAGACGATCCCAGCCTGCATACTGATGTAGCACTTCTAACATAGCTTGAAGTCTCCTGGTTCCTTACAGGCGAAACTCGTGGCTTTCCGAGAGATTCACGGAAATCGGAACTATTTGATTCAAGTGCTGCCCAGATGTCGAAAAATGGCATTTGGACGTTTTGGGGGAAATTAAATCCATCCTTTCGGCTCAGGGCTGCTCATGTGTTTCGTAGCACGACCGTAGGAATGGGCTGGGAGTTTGAAGAAAGGCATGACGTAATCCTGGAAATATTTCCACTCCCGAGAACAGTGAGGCCCGGCTCCTCATGCGAGTCAAGGCTTGATGAATCGGGCACATTTCCACAGGGCGCCGCACAGGCCGACGGCTGCTCTCACACAGAGGCTTCTGCGCTGCTGCCGACAAGCTCGGTTTTAAAAGCTGGAAACGGCTTTACGCATCAACTCTTCAGTCCCCCGAGCGAACACCTCCTGCCACCCTTTTAAAACAGGTTCAGCCTTTGGACCTTTGCACCACCCCAATAAATCCTCAATTAAAATGAATATTCTGAGGCAAATCTGAATTTTGGCTGAGTGTCCAGCCCTCTTTCCCGGCCCGCCTGCGCAGTGGCAGTGCTACTTCCTGGGCAACATCTGAGCGATAAGCGTACATGGAAGGATTTGCGACAACTGCTTTGCACATGTATGATACTGGTTTAATACCCTAAATCAGGCTGAAGCCCCACTGGCAGGACTTACTGACGCAAATTAATCGGGACTATCCGCATGGAAGTGGGCTTTACAAAAGATACTAAAAGATCCTGCATCCGAGGATCAAAAACACATTAGAAATGTTACCGGGCTGGTACAGCGGTAGACACTGCTGCCTCGCAGTGCTGAGCCCCTGGCTTCGATTCTGGATGTGGGGTGCTATCTCTGTGGAGTTTGTATGTTCTCCTGTCTTGTTTTGGGGTTTCCCCCAGGTGCTCTGGTCTCCTCTCACAGTCCAAAGACATACTGGTAGGTTAACTGGGTTCTGGGAAGACTGCCCCCGAGGCGAGTGTGTGTGCATTGCTGTGTGTGCCCCGCGGTGGACTGGGGTCCCATCCAGGGTGTACCCCGCCCTACGCCCGTTGCTTGCCAGGATGGGCTCCAGCTCCCCCATGACTCAGAACGGGATGAAGGGATTAGAAAAGGGATAGATAGGCGAGCGAGAGACAGTCACTCAGCCCATGTTTGGCAGCTAAATGAACCAAGGATCTCAGGCAGCCGTTTCGTGAAAGACGCCGTCGAGTAGCAGCTGCAAGCGAAATTACATCTTGATGTCAGTTTAAGGACGGCACGTATCAAACAATATACTGTACACGACAAGCACGACACATGTATCGAGATATCCAATTCAGATCTCATTCACATAGAGCGGCGGAGCGGTGGCTCTGTGGCTAAGGATCTGCGCCTGTGGCTGGAAGGTTGCCGGTTCAAATCCCGCAGAGGAATCCTACT